GCCAAGGCTAGTGGTCCTGGGAACCGACTGACCGAAAACAAGCCTTTTCCTCTTCTTCTGGCAAATTAGCTTTACGCAGACCAGTTCCTTGATCTGATTCAGCACGTGAGAGCTAGGCCCAGCCTAAGAGTAGTGCTGGAAGTGAAGGTTGGGCAGAGCCAGCCTTTTACAGCAAAACCTCTGGCACAGACCGAGTTAAACTGATCAGTGGGTATCAGGGCTAAGGTGGGTATCTTTGTAGTCCAGGAGCAAAATGCTTGAGGGAAACCACCTCTGTGTCATCACTTAAATGAAACTGAGCTCCCAGTGTATCCCTAAATTAAAAAACCATCATCTGCGTAAGAGAAAAGGCAGCATACAGCTCATCGTGATTATTAACGATGTGTGTTCCTGAGCGGTCTCCTTGGTGAAGCGTTTTTGTTTGCGGGAGGTCATTCTCTTTGAGATCTAGCATGGCTCATGTAGCCCTGCAGCCCCTCATGGAGAAATGAAGGTCACAAGATGTCTCTTTGTGGGGTAAACGGGTATTCTCAGTGTAGCCTTCTCTGAATGTGTCACACCACATCATTTGCCCTGGAAGTTTCCATGCAGGTTAAGTTTAGATGCTAAATTACCTCTGACTCCACCCACTCCAGAAGTTTCTGACATCATTAGTCTAGAAGCTGGGTGGAGGGTGGTATGTGAGGAATCTGCTATTTAATCAGGTGTTGCGTTATCAGTCAAAAAAACAAACACTTCATCATTTCTCTTCAGTGTTCAGAATAAACTTTCACTTTCTCTGTAGCATCACCTTATGCGTAGACATCAGAGCCCTTAATCCCCCAGTAATTTCATCAGATAAACGGTATTTTATTGGCCTTTCTGGATGTTGGAGACTGTTAAAATAGTAAAAAACATTAGAAATTAATAAACAGGAACAAACAGGAGGCCTGATATTAATCAGCATCTTTAATTTTGCGCCCAAACTTGGACTTGCATGTTGGTGGGTTGGACCCAGAAAGTCTCCAATTTTGTCTTACAGAAGCAAATCCAAGAAGTTCTCTCATTAGAAACCCAGCGGGGCATCTTTGGACTTTAATGACCTAAATGTTGGAGACAGGGACAACCCAAACCTGATGCCTGTGTTGCGGGAGCTGCTCAGATTAGCCAGCTCAGGTTGGAAGGGGTTCAGGATTTTAGCTTGCATGGGGTGTTTTTCTGCCCGCACTGAACTGTATCAGTCTCTTTCCGTGTTAGTGGATAATGGATTAGAGAACTATTGCAAAGGTAATTATTTTTTAACATGGGGAATCAGCATTTCTTTCAGTAGAGTTGTAAACAGGTTTATAAAGAAAGGATTTACTAGTTATTGTAGCCCTGTTCAGGTTGGACAGTTAGTACTCCCCAGGTTTGACGGTAACTCTACATATTGCTTTTGAAATCCTATTGCCAGAATCTTGGTGAGTGGGGTTAGTTTTCTTTTACCATGGTGCTGGTGGTATTTTTATGGATTTTTTGGCATCATGCCCCATATTTACCTTAAAATTTTAATTCTTTTTTAGTTTTATTTTAATTTCTATGTGTTTAAGTCGCTAAGTGTTACTTCTGAAAGCTCTCCTTCCCCTTGTAAAAGAGCTGTACTTAGAAACATTCCTTCATATACTCCTGTTGGCATAGATAACTACAGAAAATAAATTTCTGCCTGGTTAAGGCTAGCTTTTTATTAGATTGGGCTGTCGCAGGAACATACCTAGATTGTTGGTTGGATTCCAGTTCTTTCGGTCGGATTCATATGAAGACAGTAAGGTGTGGTACCACACAGCAAGGAGTCAGAGGAGGAAGTTGAACTCTTGCCAAAACCAGAGTACTTCTTCCTTTTATTCATGTGTCGTGTTTGAGCCTTTTTTACCATATCTGCTCCCAACACGCTGCATCATGCGACTTTTTTTTACTTCATGTGTGTAATGTCACTGGTTTCAGTAGAGCTGCTTGTGTGGCGCTTGCAGAGGTTGATGGAGTGGCTACTCTTCTTCTCCAGTCCTTTCTGTTCCCAAAATCTTCTACAGCATTTCTTAACTTTAATAACTTCAGGTTTGTCAGGTTTAACCCTGTCTGTTGTCCTTCTGTAAAGAAGTCAGTGAAATAACACGGAACGACACGACCATCCTCCGTATGGCCATACTCCAGGCATTAGTCAGTGTGTTTGTCTGCCTCGGTTTTGTTTGTTTTTAATATTCTTAAGGTGTAAACCAGCATCCGTTCAAGTTAGTGGCTACACTCAAATTGACTTCAGAGGGAGCAAAATTAGATGTTTGTTAAAAATAACATTTTATTTTGTTTGGATGATTGTCTTTTAGGAGGGAATGAAATATGTTTTGAAATTGATGAAAGCTATGCACTTCTTTATATGAACATGGAATCTAGCTTCTATATATATTTTTTTTAAGCATGTCATCACAGGATGGAGTTGCAGCTGTCTTGTTCTCCTTTTTTGCTCTGTTATGTTCTTCTCATCTGGTTAAAAATAGCCCAAGAGGAATCAGTCTTGACTGAGCACTTCCTCTTTCAAACTACAGATTTTTTTAAATTGTATTAAATCATTTATAAGAAAATGCAAATTAGGAGCAGTGTTTTTTGCTGTAATACAATGAGCTGTATACAGTAATTCTGTTTCTTGCAGTTATTGGCACGCCACACCTTTCCTATATCAGGTGGTTAAACAGATTTATTGGGAATTTGAGAAAGTTCGTAGTATAGAAAATTAGGTAATTTGAACATTAGCATTACTGATTTTCTCCATATCTAGCGTATTTTTGCACTTAACAGAGTTCTTTTAAGCTTTAAGTCTGCTATTATTTGTTTCTGAGGAAGAGGCTGCCGCACCTGTGGAAAACGGGGTGCGGGACTGGTGCTGCTTTAACCTGTGAGAGACTTGACTGCACAACCACAGAGTCCTTGCTTTTGATTCAGAATCAAAAGCCAGATCCAGATTTTGTGCTTGGCTTCTATCTACAGGGAGTTGACTTAGACAAAGGTGTTGCATCTCTATGCTCAACTTAATTTTTAAGAAGTTTGAAATTTGACTGCTGCTTGGGCTCTCTGGCTGGATCCACGTGGTCACCAGTGCCTAATACAGCACAGGAACATAAGCCTTGATGCCAGAGCGTCCTCAGGAGCTAATTGCCTGCTGGCCGTGATGTCAGAGCATGGATTAGACTCACCCGAGCTGCTGGGAGCAAAGTAGCATTGCACTCCTGATTATCCCTTCTGCAATCTAGAGAAGGCACTTTTTTTTATTTATTCCCTAAATCAGGCTGTATTAAGAGGCAGTTAGGCTGCGGAGTCTGCCAAACCTGAGTTAGGCTGAACAGCTGTCTGTTCCAAACCTGTTTTCTAAAGATCCTGGTTTATTAAGTTAGCAGGTCGACTAATGAAGTGCATTAAATCATAAAACTCTGCTCTGCATACCTGGTAATACAGTCAGCCACCAACCTGCAAAGTGTACGCGGGCAGAAATCCCCTGGGCTCCACCATTTCTGAAGTCGCACATGTAGTTGCTGCTTAGTTTTGTACTCGCTAGTGTATTTGTCTTGAAATATTGCAGATCATGGGCTTGTAAAAGGGAAAGGTGACCTGATTTCATTTTATAGTAGAGACCAGGAGAAACGGAGATATTCAGAGCACAAGAAAGACTAAAAATGCCAGTGGAAAGTATTCTGAGCTCAGTGCAATTATTATTTCACACTATCAAAAGGTAAAAGGAAGAAATCATTCAAGTGGGCATTGTCAGATCCCACTCATGGCAGGGTGGAGACCAACCCAGTGATAAATGTTAAAGGTCAGAGCATTGCAATCTAATCAGTACAGTGTGATCCCCAGACTTCCTATCGCAGGCACGGTGAATCTTTTATTCTTGCAAGAGGCCTTTGAAAGGGCAGGGGAAGGAGTGAACTGGAGAGGTGGTGATCTGTTGACTTGGCACATGTTCACTTTAAGTAATTGCAAGGAGTATCTAGTATCTAGCTATGCTGAACTGCTGCTTTGAACAATTTTGGAAAAGAGGGCCACTTTAAATGATTTTAATTATCAGTACTTCTACTTAAGTGAAATTAAATCAGTTTCTTATTTTGCTAGCATTGAATGTCAATTTAATCGTTTCGTGTCAGACCTTAAAGGAGAGCATCGAATTCAGAGAGGGCTGCTTTTCCCAGCATCGCCCATTAAGCTAGGAGTACATGAAATGTTCAGTAATGACATCCCAGGTCCTATGTCTTGAAATTAAAGCAACTGAAAGAGTGAACAAAACTGAAATGCTGAGCTTGAGTTATGCATTACCATGTTTTACACTGGGAGGAATATGTAAGGAATCAGACCCTTTCCAGCAAGGGTTTGCTTGTTTTATCACAAAGTTATATCGTAATGACACCACTAATCACTATTCTTAAAGGTACAGAAGTGACACAGATGTTGATGGTTTGTGTTGTTTCGGCTTCATTCTTGCCAAAGAACTGCCTTCTGATTATTTTTCTGTCTCGGTTTCTAGAGGAAAATAATGATAATACCGCGTAGGAGAAGTCTCTCACTGTTGCAGAAAAATCTTCAGCTAGGTCCTAGGACTTCTCTGTACTGAAGTATTTCTCTTCAGCAGCGGCATTCATTTTATAGATTTTTATCATGTGCAAAAAAGAGATACACATCCAAGGAGTGACTTTTAAACTACAGATACATGAAACTGGTCTGGAAGGCAAGCTGAGGAAACCAGACACAAGAAGCAACTGGAGAATTAGGACAGTTTAGCCTTATTTGATGAAGGGAAAGCATTGCAAGGCTTCTGTATCATTTGTCGTGTACAAGGAATTATTCATGCAGTCCCTGTAAAGCTAGCAGGGACTACGGGCACATTTCGTCTGCCTTGGCAACACCATCTCTTCTACCGGTGGACGTTCATCCCCAGTTTGTTAAAGAATTACTGCTGATTTTGATGACTAATCCTTAGTCTTCTCTTTCCTTCTGCTGTTCAGTGCCTGAAGAACAGCTGCACAACATCGATGAGTATGATCTCAACGTCGTCCGCCTCTGCTTCCAAGCTTTCCTTCCCGACGAACATGGCAACTACACGTTAGCTCTTCCTCCTTTGATTTCCAACCCGATCTATGACAACAGTAAGTACCAACCCAGTCAAATGTGTGTATTTTTTTTTCCTTTTCTCTTTTGCTTGGGAAGAAAAATGCCAGGCCAGTTTCTGAGGTCCGCGCCAGTCTTCTGGGTCACTTCTGTGGCTTGGGACTGCTAGACGCATGTCTAACACATGGCAAGTCAGTGAGCAAATGCTCGGAACATGATCCCAGGGTGAAGTGTTGGCCCACCAGAGTAAGAATTGTCTGTTGCACCCACGGGCTCGCGCATGGATGCTTTCTCAGCCCTTGTTCACATATCACAGTAATGACTGCAAGGAAAGGCCTGCTCCTGACGTGCCAAGCGATTAAATAGTAGCGAGATGGATGGCTGCTGTAAGACTGATCTGTTTTCCAGGGATGTCCTGTAAAGCCTGTTTGTACCTGTGAGGAGTCTTGCCTTTGCCTTGCGAGAGCTCTGGAACAGGACTCGAGAGGGAGATTTATCCCAGTGGGAAACTGTCTTAATGCTTTTATATATCCCTTTTGTATCCCGGTTGGTTGCTACTTTCAGTGTATGGGTAGGTAGCGGGAGAATGTCTGATCATGCTCTGGGAGGGTGCAGACGTACGTGAAACACCCCTTCTTCTTTCCACAAACCTGGACTTCTGTGTGGCTTTGGCAGGTCACTGCAGTTGAGGATTTTAGCCCTCAACATGTGCTGGACTTTACTCCTGGAGAAGAATAGCAGAAGAGCTTCTAGTAACTGGAAGCTTTTTGGCAGTGGCTTTTATTTCTGCAGTGAAAGTACTTCCATGCTAACTATTTAAGGTCAAGGGACACTATTTTAGCAGAAACTATCAAGTCAATGTTAAAATTGTGTTGATGTGGGCATTGCCATTATGAAAATGTTTAACATGAACCCAGGTGGTTTTGGTATTTTTAGAGTCTCTTCTAGAATTATCTAGAAGTTGGAACTGTGTGCATTGTGTTATTGAGAACCCTTGTAGTACTAAAGTAATTAGGGTTGAGATAAAATTGATGTACAAGATTTGCAGCGATGTCTCAGATGCCATTTACAAATGTGCCAAATCATGATTACTCGTCTACGTTGATTGACGTCAGTCTTTGCTAAGCTGCTGAAATGACAGATGGCTGTGTGGTGGGGGAAGCTTGGTTTTTTAGTGTGGGTGTATGTGGGCAGCTGCTGATACACTATAGGTATCTAAAATCCTCCGTGTAACGTAGCAGCGGTGTAAATAAAAGCGCATAACTGCAACCACAAATCATAAAAATTATGCTGCTCTTGTCTGGAACAGCAGTTTCAGATCTGAATTTCTTTTTAAAATGTTAGCCTTTTTAAACCTGCTCTGTTATACAGAACTGGGTAAGGTCAGGTTATAACTTTAGATGAAATATAAAATTGTATGGTACAATGGGCTTGTAGGTAGTTAGAGTTCAAGCTTTCGCAGATCTGTTTAGACCAGGAGCAAAAAGGTGTTCAGAGCTTTTCTGAGAATCAGCTTGCATACTTTAAATGTAGTATTTTCTTCACTTTCTAATACCTTGTAGTCTCCACCTGCTTTGGATAGTAGAGATACATAAGAATAATATGAACATAATATGGAGGCAATCACATTAGCAGAGACTGCAAATTTATAGAATTCAGTATTACAGGCAGCTTCTATTTTCAGTTGCTTATAACGTTAATGTTAACTGGTTTTGAGCAGAAATTTCCCAAACTGCGTATCTTACCACGCTGAAAACTCTTGGGAAAAGTCAGATAAAGCAGCTTACCGATTCTGAGAAATGAGGTTAGGGAGGACATGTTGTTCTGCCCTTGTTCAAATGATGTGGGTTTTGGGGAGAAACTCGTTTTTCTAGGGATTTGTTACCAGGGACGTGCTTTTGGGGAGCAAGGAACAGGAATTGGGCAGGAGTCACGGCGATGGGGAGGCAAGGGCGTGCACAGGGGAAGAGAGATGGGAAGTGGCATGGCGTGACAGAGGCCACAGAATATCTCTCTCTGAGGCTGGCGCTGAACTCTGTGTTCCTGCCCGGCACCGGGGCTGACAGCAGAGAGTGGTGCATCCACATCTGCGTGCATTTGTGTTTCTTTCCTTTATCCTCCTGTCTAAACTCCCCTTAAAATAAAAGACGACAACCTCCAGCCTAGGAGACCTTCCCAAAAACCTGTTAAAAGGACATCAAGTGGTATTCAAGCATACAGAAGTGAAACAAAGGTAAAATTAGGCTGCTTCTTGCAATTCTCAATTTACCCTTACTGTGAAAAACGCACAATGACGCTGTCAATCATATGATCCTGTGCCATTTCTGGGTTTGTTTTGTTTCCCCTCCCTTCACAGTTTCTGATTCATTCAGCAAATGAAGTGGCATGTGTCATGTAGTAAATGAGGCTGTAGCACCCACTTCTCCTAATAATAATAGTAATAGCTGCAGATAGTAACTACGTAATTAGGATCTGGTCTGAGGTTACCAAGAGCTCTGTTTTAAGTGTAGTCTGTGTTGTGCTACAGCATACCTGTAGAGTACCATGAAAGATCAGGCAAGAATTGACTCAAACTGAGAGTCCGAAGTAGATTTTTTTTTTTTTTGAGGGTGACGCCATGAGCTTCGACTTTGTATTTCATCGCTGTGCCTGGAACAGGGAGCCCGTGGTGGTGCCTCATGTTGCTGTGGTGGTAGGAGGATCGGTTTCTGGGTCGCAAAGCAGCACCAGCCGGATCCTCCCAGGTGAATACGTTTGGAGTTGATGTCTTGGCGTCTTATGTCTTGACGTAACAAGACGAAAACTTCATGGCATGGCCTAGTTTTGTTCTGTTGACTGGAGGGGTGGAAGAAAGGGCAGTAAACTATGAATATGGTCACAGCCAGTAGCAGAGAAATGATCATCAGTTACTTTGTATGTTAAGTGAAGACAGGGTCATAAAATTGGTATGGGCTTACTTAAAAGTATCAACACAGCATATAGGCACAGGGGGTGAACTTGAAATTCTAGAGAGAGTTCTTCCATTCTGGCTTTTTTTTTTTTTGTTAGTTCTTTGTTACCTCTGAATTACTATATTGTGACATTAGTGCCCTTTTAAAGAAACTGTAACATAGCCCAGGAAGCTCCGAGGAGGCTGTTCTTTCTTGCACTAGTCTCCTGTCCATATTTACCCTGCTGGAAAGCTGCTGCTACTGAACGGGGCCAGACACCGTCAGGCACTGCTTGTCTCCATCCCGCATGAGTCCCCCTTCACCATCAGGCTGTTTGGATGTGGCATGCAAAGTTGGGTGGTGGTTAATTTACCGTGACATACAACGCTACCAGAGACTGTGCATGGGGTAGCTCTCCATCCACAACTATCATGAGCACTTGTCCGTGTACAGCCACAGTCTGGAGTTGAAATTTGAGTGGTTTTGGATGAAACCTGCTATAAAAGTTAGGCTCCTAGACCTGTTCTCAAACACCTAGAGAGGGTACCAGAGGAGAGGCTTGATGGCCAAGTATGTCTCTGAATAAAACTATAACCAGATACTCAGAGAGGGGAATTTTCTTAACTTGCTAGCCCAGCTTTTTCCAGAGAAGTATGACTGTAACGGCTAATCAGTCACTCAGAGAACTGCTTTGAATTCTACAGCTTGAAGGGCAGCAGGGCTGAGCACAATCACGTCATTCGGGGAAGTATTTTGAGACTGCTCTAGAATAGTTAGGGAGTGAGTGGCACAGCTGCACTGGAGATGAGCGGCCGAGAGCTGTAGGATCATGGAACATCAAGCCCTGCTTCTGAATTTCCTGTATAGAGCAACTTGTTTTGTGTGGATTTTGGGGTGTCACACTCCTCCAGCTGTTGCCTTCCCTTCATATGCCTTAACTCCCAGCACCTCACCTTCAATAGCGACAAAGTTACAGTAATTCTTTCATCAAATTTGCCCGTTTGTTTCCAGGAGCTCCCAACACAGCAGAATTAAGAATTTGTCGTGTGAACAAGAACTGTGGAAGTGTAAAAGGAGGAGATGAAATATTTCTACTGTGTGACAAAGTTCAGAAAGGTAATCTTGACTAGGTTTTTGGGGTTTTATTTTTGTTTTTTTTTTTTTTTTTTCCTTCCCCTGCTTTTGTTCCAAATGGCTGACACTACCACTTTCTAGCTGGGGAACTGAAGCCCTTCACCACACTGCCGTGTAAGTGGTCCGGTTTTATAGCTGGGCAGAACAGCTTTCAGGTTCAAGGGCTCTCAGCACCTCTGAAAGATACTCAGTGCCTTTAAAGTTGAGCCATTTACTTTTCATCTGAATTCTGAGTCAGACTCCTTTCTTTGTTCCTCTTCTCCCTTCCTTCTGCTGCAAGTTTGCAGTTTTCTTCTTCAGCTTAACAAGCATCTTCTGTTTCTAATGGATTAGATGATATAGAAGTCAGATTTGTCTTGGACAACTGGGAGGCCAAAGGTTCCTTCTCACAAGCTGACGTTCACCGTCAAGTTGCAATTGTGTTCAGAACGCCACCGTTTCTCAAAGACATCACTGAGCCCGTCACGGTGAAGATGCAGCTGCGAAGACCTTCAGACCAGGAAGTCAGTGAACCTATGGATTTCAGATACCTACCAGATGAAAAGGGTATGGTTCCAATTACCCGAGTTTCTGAAAAGCCACTATCAGTGCAGAACTCGTGTTAATAATAAACAGTAGCTTAATTAGTAAAAATTCTAAAACACTACTTCTACAAAGTAGATCTTTGGTTTTTAAAAGTAAAAATGGTCAGTTTGGTCCCTCTTTCAATGAAAATACCAAGAAATCACAGTTAATAACACTGTCTTGGTTTGTTAGTGCAATCATGTCTTAAGTATTTTTCTTTAAATATATCTTGACTACAATTAGGTGCCACTACTGTAAGTTTTAGAAAGTTCCTTTACTAATTATATCAAAGAGAAACGTAACGCTTTTCCCTTCCACTCCTTTCTCTGTAGATCCATATGGCAACAAAGCAAAAAGGCAAAGGTCAACGTTGGCTTGGCAAAAGCTCATACAGGACTGTGGTAAGGAAAATATTTGTCTTTCTCTTGTTGGAGTGAACTTACATTTGGATGGAGCTATTTTATATAAAAGCAAACATGTAGTGTAGGCTCATGCTTTCTTCCATTGCAGGGTCAAATGCGACAGAGAGGCCCAAAGTAGCTCCGTTCCCCACTGTCACTCCTGAAGGGAAGCTCATCAAGAAAGGTAGGTTTTTGCTTGCAGTCCAACAGTGGTTTGAAATGGTGTCCGACTGCTGTGGGGAAGGGCTGGAGCTTTTTCAGGGGGGCACTGAAGTTCCCAAGGCAGCAGTAGTACCTGTCCCTTACTTTCCCTCCTCCAGATTCTTCTCAAAGCCTCAGCCCTGCTGCAACTTCCCCTTTGCACAGAGGGGGGCTACACCTTCTTCACCTTGAAGCATTGCTAGCTTTCAGCCTTAAGTTAGATAACTACTGATCTTCTCTGTGTTCAGATACGCAGCCCTTCAAACATCCACTCAGTTGCTGGCCTTCCTTCTTCCCTCCTCTTTGCTTGAAATTCTAATATTCTCTTGAAGGTTTCTTCCTGTAAGATACTGGTACTTTTGACTATACAAACTAAAACCATCAGTTCTTTACTTAAATGTAGCTGTCACCTTCAGCATTTGCCATAGAGGGGTGCGTTGGATAGCTGTCTTGCTGCTGTCCAGAAATCTGGGGTCCACCCTGGAGAGCAGTTAAGCAAGTGTGAAAGTGCAAATGCACATATAATCTCACTAAGATAGCACTGGTTTTGCTTTGCTTTTTACCGTTTCTGATTTTAAAAAATACAAAAAATGGCATTAAAATGCAGTTACGTCTTTCCTTTCCATAGAACCAAACATGTTTTCATCTGCAATGATGATGCCGGGGCTAGGAACCCTGGCCAACACTAGTCAGATCTACCCTGTCTGCAACCAGATTCCCCATCCGCCTGCGCAGGTGGGGCCAGGGAAGCAAGACACGCTCTCCTCGTGCTGGCAGCAGCTGTACGGCACCCCCTCTTCAGCCGGCAGCCTGCTTAACGCGCACCCACAGAACAGCTTTGCAGCAGATGTGCCTCAGGCTGCTGCTCAGGGCAGCAGCTCTCTCCCAGCTTTCCATGACAACTCCCTGAACTGGCCTGATGAGAAGGATTCAGGCTTCTACCGGAATTTCGGCAGCACAAATGGGATGGGAGCAGTGGTGGTGTCAACTGCAGACATGCAGAGTGTTTCTAGTAACAGCATCGTGCACCAGGCTCACCCCGCCAGCATCTCCACAGCCAGCATCGTCAACATGGAGACCGACGACATGAACTGCACTAGTGTAAACTTTGAAAAGTATAACCCAGTGTTAAATGCAAGCAATCACAGGCAGCAGCTCCATCAGGTGCCTCCAGCTTGCCCGCCTGTAGCAGCCCCGGGCAGTACGCCTTTTAATTCACAGTCTAACTTAGCTGATCCAGCAGTTTACAGTTTTATAGACCAAGAAGTTTTAAGCGAATCGAGACTATCCACCAACCCGATCCCAAACCATCAGAATAGCATTGCAGATAACCAGTACTATGACACCGACGGTGTCCACACTGATGAGCTTTATCAGTCTTTCCAATTTGATAACATATTACAAAGCTATAACCATTGAGCCAGCAGTGTCGGGCTGGAAGCAGGTACGTAGACCTTTTCAGATGGCTAGCTGCGTGAAGAGGAGTAACTTACCCTTCTGGAATCCCTGCTTTCTCTTTCAGAATGTTACTACGCAGGTTTCATGATATAACTTGAGGTTATCTATTACAGCCCAAAGACTGGTGCCCGTAAAGAAGAGAGGTGGGAGTAGGGTTTGGGATTCTGTACCCTAAAAGTACTTTGTATGCATATTTTTACGCTGTTGGAAAAGGGAACTGTTAACACTTAAATCTTTCTTACCTTTGGGGACTGTAAAAGCTGGCATCTTCACAAGAGTTAAAATGTCAAATACTTCACAGGGTTAAAATCGTTTGAAAAATAACCGGTTTTGCAATGGAAATTAAATTTAAATTTTGATAGGACAGAAATTAGGAAAAAAACCTGCACGTGGGCACTCTAGTTCAGACTCACCTAACAATGTTAAAGTTTTACTCAACTTACTTGAAAGGTTTAGGTTTCTTACCCTCTTACGCATAAAATAACTCTTATCCTAAAGCAGATCATGCATTGATTTTTCACATTTTCACCACACTCCATTTGCTTTGAAGGCAAATTTACTCAAATTTTTTTAATGACTATGTCATTGTTAGATATATTTTAAAAGACCGGAAGGTTTGAGTTTTTAAATAGTCCAGCTCTGTTGTAAATGAATCACTGCACAAAAGAATGAACAGAAAGTAAGGACTTCTCTGCACTTCATCCAAAGTGCACTATTTTAAACGACAAACCCCTGTTGCTTTAGGAATGGAGCACACTGTTATTTCTCTGGAAGTTTTTGTGTGTGTGTGTGTGTGTGTGTAGCTGTGACATGTATGTTATTTTGAACTGCAGAAATATGTTGAGCCGGAGCACCTACCTATTCTTTCCTCAGGTATCCTGGCAGTTTCCTGCTATGCAAGTGACTGCTTAAAAGGCGGCTCAGATCCTGTCTCCCCACCACCCCCTCACAAGAAAGCTCTGGGGCAAAGCCAGAGGCAGTCTTAGTGCAGCCTCATCTAGATGCACTCTATTAACGACTTAAGGCCATTTCAGTCAGTACTAATTAAAAACACTCCTCTATACTCTGTATCAGAAACCAGAACTTCCTCCCTTCCACCTGATTCCCAGTCTTCATTCTTAGCCTGAGTTGCGAGATGTTCAGTGACAACTCGCGTGGATGTAACTGGCTAGGTAAGACACTCTACTCTGCATTATAGGGCTTTGCTATTTTATTATTATTATTATTTTTTAAGAAGCAACACAGCAAGAAATATATGAGTATTTCTTAAGTTATACAGCTGTTTTGTATGGCAGATAAGGCTTAGGATTGTAATTGTTACTGTTCGGTAACATAAAACTGCACCATGGAAAGAAGCAATAAAAAAAGCACGCTGATAAATAAAAAACAAAAAACACAACCCCAAATCAAAAAAGCCACTTCAGACATATAGTTGTACACGAAGCAAAAAGGAACTCCAAAAAGCCACCGTGGTTTATAGGAAAGGAATGACTCCTTAACTGCAGTAATTCATTGCATTCAAAGCAATAAGGTGCTGCTGCTGTAATGCATTACACCAATTACACAGGTTTGACAGAATACACTCCTTAGACAATGTGTAGAATATATGAAGTTTGGAAAACTGCTTCCCCTGGCTCCAGGTATACAATGCAAGGAATTGACTTGCCACATTTAAAGCAGTTTTTCCTCACTTTTGCATAGCTCCTCTGCAGTCTTAAGTAATAGAAAGACCAAAGAAATACAAAGAAAGATTGAAATGTGTTGTTTATTTTCTTTTTTTTTTTTTGAAGTTCTCAATTTTAAGTATATTAAATGTAAACATTTTACTTCATAGAAAGCTCTTTATAGTACAATTTGTTTTTACTGTATAATTAAATATTTTCAAAGTTCTGTTTTCCTTTGTAAACAAGTTGGTTTGGTAATTAAAAAACTGGTTATACCAAGTACTCAGCTTCTGCAACCCTCTCAGATTCATGACATCCCTCACCACAGGAAAGCCAGAGAAATGGGAGAAGGTAGGTTATGGGTTGCTTATCTTGGGGCTTTTTAGAGTATTTTCTGTTCACCGTTACTGTTGGCTACTACAAAACCTAACGCAATGTGTGCAGTAAGGGTTCATCTGCACGCAGCAATTTTTTGTGGCAGAGCAGTTGACCTGTTAGGCAGAGCGGACAGATGCTTTCATGCTCAGCTAGAGCTGTGCTACTGGTACAGCTTTCTCCAGGGTCAGCTAAGCTGATGCAAAAAATGTAGCGGCAGGGCAGGGGAGGGCATTATAGGTGACCAATTGTTTGGAGAAACACAACGGCTTTGTTTTGAGTCCTTCCAGTGCAGAGAAGGATGGTGCTAAGAACACTGGGCCTCATTTTTTAGTATTTTTCACATAATGTGCTAGAAAATGCCTCCCTCTTTCACACATGCCTAATGAACAAGATTAAATCTTAATTCTCACAAAATATCCTATCTGAGTACTCACAAGTAGGTATTTTCCTTTTAAAAATAAGATGAAGGCCAAAGTACGTTAATATTATTGCTGCAATATTCATCACAGATTATGATAGTTCAAAGTGTTTACTTTGTATTAGAAATTGCAGACTTTAAACAAAGTTCAAAAAAAACAGATTACATCTCTCATTTTCATATTTTCACATGATCACTGAACAATAACTGTGTAAAGAACTGTAGAGATACTTGCATCATCAGCTTTTTTTTCCCCTCATTTGGGTACTTCACATTTATCATAAAAATGAGCTATTTGGGAATTTTTGGCAGACCTCTCTACACTGCATGGAGAAGAGATTAGACTCCACACATTTAGTGTAATCTTTATAGCCTTGTTTATCTGCACTTTGATTTTTAACATGTTCTCCACTGTCACCATGCTAACGTACAGCACAGTGCAGAAAGAGCTGCGGATGGCAGTGCCTCGAGTGTCCTTGCACTACAGCAGGAGCAGGAGCCCTTTCGGCTTCTGCCTTGTGAGCTCTGTTTCCCCCTTGGAACAGCTCTTCTCATGTCTGTTGTGCCCATAGTGCAGTCTTGTTTACATTTTTTTCCCCTGTAGTTTATGGAATTTATAAATCATATTTTAGCTCACTTTGAGTTTCAAGAAATCACATAGATATGAGACTGATATTCTCTTTTGTTTGTTTTCTGAATTCAGTTTCTTATGTTTTCCGTCATTCACAATACTTCCTTTCTGGGTACAGCTTATTATCTATCTGAGACAACTACTCCTGGAATCTGTTGCTCATAACAGCTTTAAATGAAAAACAAAAAAATAGTGCTGTCTGACTCATGTTCCTATTATTTTTGTGTTAGAAAAACAGGAGCTTCTGAACTACTACCATACTTATGCTACAGTGGATTAGGAAAACAAATGATGAGACACAAGTTTTGACAGCCCAGCACAGGCGGAGTGTATAATATTTAGACTATTTTTCCAACATCAGTTTCTAAGACCTCCTTGAAAATGTATTTATTAATGCCTTTTTGAACCTTCAGCTGAAGTTATCATACAGCTGTCCTATTACGAGGTCCTGGCACCACTGAATTGAAGGTAAGACATCCCAGTAATCCTGTCTGTCCCCAGACAGTGGTTTGTCTCAGCAAATATTACCCTCTTTACTTATCAAATGTTAATTAATGAGGAGCCCTTCAATTCCAAACCATAATTTCTTGTTGATAGTTTAACACTCTTCTGTACTTCAGGTAAGCACAAGCATCTTCCTAATGGATTAACATGATACAGGCATAGAAGTGGCTTTTCCTGAAGATGTAGGTGGTGCTTTGTATGAAAGATTTAAAAATCACATAAGCACAGAGAAAAACTCTAGTCTTCCCTATTCCAGGCAAGTTTCTAGGCAATGTTCAATTCTTCCAGGCATCCATCCAAGGCTAGGCACTAGAAAAAAATGTATTATGCTACTAAACCAAAGCTCTTTATCTCTGTCTTGGTCTCTCTCTATACCAAGATTCTTCGGTACGTTTTTATATTTGCCTGCACTTTGAGGTTCTTGGTATTCCTATTTTTCTTTAGAGTTCCATCATGCATCACTGCCAGGAGTTCCCGATCTTTTTATATATGGTGACTCAACTGGGGAAGTCCTATGCCTGAAGAGGACTGTAACCAGGCCAGAGAGCTGTTGAGGCCTCAAGTACCTCAACTGTTGTTTCTAGGAAGCATTGCTGATGTTTTTAAATGAGAAAAACTTGGTTTTAAGTGCAAAGTTTTCCTCTGAACGCTGTTTTTCCCTTTGAGAAGTACTTTGTCTGGGAGATAAATTTGCCCATCTCTAAAACTGACACTGACCAAAAAGCAGTCAGCAGAGAGTGGAGTGCTGCCTCGTTCCAGGCACTATCCTACTGGTTTCAGAGTCTCCCTGACTTTTGGGAAGTATTCCTGCATGAATAATGCTCAGAAAAAAAGTTAGGACTGGGTTTCAGGTAATTCAGTGCTACCTGCATCCAGACATGAAAGCTGCAGCATTCAATATAAAGAGAGTTAAAAAAACCTGGCTTGAGGGAGGGTTATTTTTAATTAAAACATTTTAAAACTACTGCAGAAGGCATATTTGATGCACTTGCTCAGTACACCATTTGTACATGTTACACCATTTATCTTTTTCTTAATTGTTTTTTAAAAAAGACTTTGTATCAATACACTAGCTTACCAAAATCTTTTCATGCACAGAAGAAATTAACATAAGGCTAGAGATTGAATGAACACTACCTGTTCCAGAGTGTTTAAAGTTGATTTAAAGTGACAGCATCCTTTGGCAGATCAACATGATCCAAATGTTCAACAGAAATAGTTTGCAACCAAGCTGTAATACTGTACAGTGTTCAGTGACCAGCTGCTGACAGAGTTGCTGCTTCTTCCTCGTCCCAGCTTGAAAAGTTAATTATCCAGGGTTGGAGGCCAGTCAACATCAACAGACTAGAAGAGACCAGAAGAGCAGGAGGGGGTGGGGGGGAAGGCAAAATCAGCAGGGTATTTTACAGATATATAAAGAGACTTGGTATCAGAACTCTCTGCTTGTCAGCTATAGGCTAATAGTGAAAAGGAACAGTAAATAAAGGACACTAAAATGAGAGACGAGGACAAGACAAGCAGGGGACAGTGACATGAAACAGCCACCTTGTTCTGGTGGCTCCATGTGTATCTGGAGAGAGCTTTCTGGGAGCTGGGCTTTCTTCATAAAGCAGAATCACAACTCCTTGTACTACTACTTCCCAGCATCATGTGATGTTGGGTTGTATTTACAGAGTCCAGAACTGTTAATTAGAAACGTGAACCATCTCCATCTTCTACCCATCCTACACATGGGCTGTTACGATGTGAAAACAAATAACCTGTTGCTTGATGCCACAGAAATATTCAGGTATTGGGCAGTGCAGGCAAGGATCGAGTAGAAAACCATCACCTGTCCCTAAATCTGCCTCCTGAGTAAGGAAAACTAGACTAAAAGAATAAGCTGTCAAGCATTATGCACATGAATTATCTAGGCAACATCATTAACAGTAATCCTGACTGTTAGTCAAAAGGGACAGAATGTGCCTGGCACTTTATCAGAAGCAAATGTCGTAATTACAACTTGGATTACGTCTTTCTTCCCCAGCCTCCCTGAGGCCATCTCTGATTCCCTTTGGGCGTAAACTTGTTGTTCACCCTCTTCCAAAAGCAGCACACCCTACGCTACCGTAGTATCACCATTTGCAATCACAACACAGGGATTGCCACACAGCACGTTAAACGCCTTGGCTTCAAGACTGCCTACATTAATCATACCTACTCCTTGCCTAATCTACAACTTTATCAAAGGATTAGGCTCTTAGGCTGAGCTTAAATGCATTATTAGCAAGATGACTAATCATTTTCAAGTCCCATGGCATCTTTCATAGTTATGTCCAATAACTAGTGACACCTATCCGTAAGAGTGATGCTTATCAGCCTGAGCCCCAAGTCAGGTGTTCCTGTTTTCAGAAGTAACTGAAGTGCCCTCTGCAGCTGTCTTTCTGTATTATCCTACAAAAGATAACGCAAAAAACTGCGAGGCTGTTCTGCAAAATGTAACAACACGTGGGCAGCTTTCCAGAAATACATGAGGACAAGCATGCTAATCATTGGCTACTTGAAATTAAACCCCATGTTTTAAAGAAACCTTGCCAAACCACTAGGTTAAATATTAAATCCATATCTCTACATACATTCTTTTAACCAAAACAAATTTTGTTTTTTCATCTGACTCCAGCAAGTGAACAGATACAATTTCTTGCTATGTTTGAACCAGCATTGAAAGAGGAAGTCAAATCTCTCCCGATTTTTCATCCAACCCAGTTTTGAAAATAAGTGATGTGGTACATGTAACATTGCTAAGCTCTGTTCCACTGGGTGCTAATAATAAGTGTCATCAATTCATGGCATGTCCTCCCATCCCTCCCCAACATGAATTCAGCAGAGGAAGCCTGTCACATGTGCCAGCATGGTACAAACCACTATTTTTGCATTAACATCAATTTTTCTATTAGCTGTGTTAAGGAATGTTGATTCAGTTAGAGCAATTCCACTGAAAGGATCTCACAAATGCAACTACGTTACTAATTTCCAGGCAAGATAAATAGCAAACAACTTACTTCTACATCCAACTCCAGAATGTCGGCAGTTCTGTTCAGTAGAGAGCCAATATTGGGCTTTGTTCTTCCAAAGTCTCCATGCACAAATTCTTTAATGTAGCTAGAAATACTCGCTAAGGAAATGTGTGTTTTACTGCAAAGTCATCAAAAGGAAAAGAAAAGAGTATGGTAAAAAATCTCAAAGCAAAAATAGTGTCTTTTTCTACTCTTAAGCCATTTTGCACTGAACATCCTGTTAAGCCTATATCCGTCTTTAAAAGACTTCTTAATTTTTGGCTTCTGACTCCAATGCCAAAAAATGTACTGTTGACCTGTATTTCCTGTTTTATTCCAAAGTGAGTGGTAACTTTATGACAAAACTGTTAACTTGTAAGTAGCAGCCATCTACAGTATGCATTGCAGTGCATTAAATATCATGGAAAAACTTATTTTCCAAGGTGAAAAGTTTTCAGTTAAATTAGAAAAGGCTTAAGTGTATCTTTAACGAGTACATTTTTATAGCTATCACATACTTTAAAACTATCAGAGTAGTCATCACAAAAATACACACACACACACGTAGCATTTTTGAATGAAAGCCTGAATGTAAAATTCTGACATAAAAGCAAACAATATACAGCAACATATGACTGCTGAAGAGCAGGGATTTAGAAACACCCCAGCAATAAAAGCAGGGAACTTCCCATTACCCGAATTACTCTAATCAGCAAGGTGTTTCATAAATGCATTGTGTAATGGCATCTAAGGATACGTTCCCGCTTGGGTCTTCAGATGCAGGCGAAAATGATGCTCGTCTATGTACTCAGATTTCATGGTGTGAATAATCCGACATCTTACAGCTAGAGGCCTTCTGTGAAGAACCCGGAGAGGTGTCTTCTGGTCAAGTTTTAATTCCTGTTACAAGAGATAACAAAATAAATGAGGAAGGAAATGTGCAACATACTGCACATATTGTAAGAGTCATATGTATTGTTAACCAATCACATCTTTTTTATATTGTATTATGGTAGCTGAGTAATCTTCTTGAGGCAAGACTAATTTTTTCCATGTTTATCAAAGGAAAAAAGGACAGCCACCTTAAAGGCTAAATGAAAAGGCCTCATATCAACACAAACTAATGGAATCACAAATACAGAGGAATAACCTTGAATTCTCCATAGTCCTTTGCTGGAATGACTCCAGGATTGAGAGGCTCACTAAAAGCCTCAGGGCAATCAAAAACAAGAAAAAAAAAAATCCCACCCACAAAATGCTTTGTCTAAACTACAGCCAACCCCCTAGAAATAAAAGTGAGGGAAAAAAAACCAAAATGAGATTAGATCTTTTAACAGTCTTTTTAAAAGTTCATTCCCCACGCCCTTTCCCAAATGAGATGCAGCAGTTTGCAAGGCAACTTTTCAGGGAGTGGGTATGCTAAAAAAAAAGCTTCGCAACAGTTATCTCCCTGAACTGTAATGGCTCAAGCACTCGCTCTGAGAATCGTTTTCTGGCCGAGGCCCATAGGAAATAGTACAACACAACAAAAACTGAACACACTTCTCCATCAGCAGTATCTCCTTGACCAACATTTGGAGAAAGTTCTCATTAACACAGCGTGCTTCTTACATTGAGCACTTTGTAAGGCCCTTTGCATTATTTTTCACAGACATTTCAAAATCCTAATTGCTGCAGCTGTGGAAGAATGGCTTTAGAGCTTGCAGAACAGAAGACCTTCTCCACTCCTTTCACTTAGACAAAACACCAGCTAAAGTAAATAAAGGGGTGCGGGTGCCAGATTTCCTCCTCTCCCATTCACTACTTTTTATTATTTGGTCTACTGGAAGGTTGACGTTACAACCAAGAATTTGCTGCCTTGGCTAACAGCCAGCTATACTGCTAGCATGACAGTGAGGAAGTAAGGAAGGGTGAAAAGGGGGAAGGGAGGTATGAAAGTCCCTATAGCAAGAAGAACCCTCATCAAAAAAAAAACCAACCACAGAGAAAGAGATATGTCCATGGCTGCATGTATATAAACTCTCCCCTACGGCACCAGTACAGGTACTATACAAATTAGCAAAAAGAGCTACAGATACCTTGATATCATCTAGAAATGCAATATCTTCTTTCTGTATTGCTTTATCTATCCATATTAAGGCACTATAGGTCTTTGTCTTTTCCTCTTCACCTTCCTTCATACGACCAATTGCCTCTCTAAACAAAAGAAATTAATTACTCACATAACAAAAGCATAATTATGTAATGCTGTGAGCAAGAATGCTTGCAAAACTCCCAAAGCATCACTTTGAAATCCCTTGCCAGAGATGATAAATACTGACCTGGTGACAAGCTGTAAATCTCGAACCTGTATTTTGTCTGAGGAGTTATTAATTGTCTGTGATATTTAAGAAAGAATCAGTTAGTAAAACTGCTCAGTTAGAGAAGAAACACATGTTTTATGAGTTCCATGAGGTGCAAATGATTTACCTGCTGAAGTCCCTTCATTTCCTCAGCAGTAAAATGTATTCTACGAGGATTCACAAGCTCAATTGCAAAGGGCCTTCCTGGCAACATGCACAGTCATAAAACATAAAAACATGTTGTTCTAAATTAACATTTGAATTTATGCAGTAAGGTTGGAAGGTGTGAAGATTGTCTGCTGTTATGCAAACAGGGATAGGACTTGCGGGTTTAGAGATGTAGCATCAGATGGAAGGAAAGAAACAAGGGACTTTTTTTGGCTACTAAACCCCAGTATCAGCAATAAGTGCAAATTACAACTTCCCAGAAGACATCTTGTACAAGTCTGTGCTAATTAAAAAATAAAATAAGGAAAAAAGTTAATTAGCTTATTTTCTGTCACCTACAGCAATGCCCAGGTGCAAGATGATGTTAAATCCCGCTCCCTCAGCTAAACATCTGTTGCAATAGCTGCACTTTCTGTGCTCAGGGCCAGGGATGATCCCCAGTATAAGCAATGCCAAGAACTACGCTACAAATCAGGCGGCAACTGAAACACATCATTGTTAATTTTTACTTTTTCTTTCCCCTCCTCCTTTGGCTATAGTAGCTTCAGCATATTGGAAAGCAACTGACCTTTATGAAGGGCCCAAATTCAAAAAGAAAATAAGGCTTCCCTGCTCCCCAGTGACAGTGAGGCAAAGTAGAAGGACCCAACAGAAGACAATATAGGAATCAGTCTGACATAAATGGCTTAAAAATAGGAAGTGAATAAAATAAAATACTCCTAACAAGCTATGTTTTTCCATGCACCTGTGCACCCAAGGACACTGAAAAAGGGCTCCTCTTTCAGTTGGTTTTATGAAAATGTTCGGTCTTTGGGAATAAATACATAAATTCTAAAATGTTTCTGAGATAAAATTTTGAAGCATGCCTAGTTACACACTTGTGCACTTAGCATTCAGCAAGATCTATTAGGGTAGCTTTGGTTAACCATTTTTTTTGTTTCTGTGTTTCACAAGGGATGTTCCAAGCCTTACCATTGCCTAGTGTTCTCACATCCACATCTTCTCTTCCAGAGGAAGAAAAATTAAAGCCTACAACAGATTTGAACAAGGCAGGTGAGATTTTATTTTACATGTTTAATACTCTCTACAGCTTTTAAAAGGTGAAATATTTTCTTTCTAAACTTGCTTGCAAATCTGCTTCAAAGAGCTATCTTCATAAAATGAAGCCTGCACTGTATTTGAATAAATCTGGGATAGTTATTGTTTATTGCATCAGATTCACAAGTTTCTTGAGGAGCACTTGTTGGCCTGATTGACACTGCTATAACCCTGAAAACGTCCAAAAAAAAAAAGCAGTACCATCCTGAAGGAATTCCACTTACTAATTAGTTTTGTTCATTTCTTATCCAGATAGTTCAAGTTTATGAATAAAAGCAAAGAAGTGAGCTGTCTTCCTCCAAAACACAATATTTTATCCTAAACACACCCAATGGTTTCCAAAGATATCAGAGAAATTTCTGCTAGTCACACACATCTAGACAAAAGAGGAAGAAAATTCATGTCCAAACTGAAAAGTAACCTCTGTGTATTTGGTTTTTTTCACTGTTCAAGCTACAAAAATATACTGCTGGGTATTTAGTTTCCTTCATCATACCCCTCCCACCTTTAAGCTTTGCCTGAAGGAGGAATGGGGGACCAAAGCCTGCACTACAGGTAACTTTGCAGCTCTATTCCAAAGGGTCTCGGAAAAACTGATGGTTTCAAAATTTTTTCCTCCACAGGGAACATAGAGAGTGCATAAAGATTTCCTCAGTTTTTATTATCTCTCATTTCTCTGGTCATATTATGGCAACCACATAAGTGTGAGAAAATTCCTCCATGGTCATGAAGGTGTATGTTGGTCACACTACCAGAATTTTCTTACTTGGGAATGCTCCAAGACCCTTAATCATCCTCACAGCCCTTTGCTGGACTTGCTTCAGTATGTCCACATATTTCTTGTACTAGGGAGCCCAGAACTGGACCCAGTACTCCAGATATGTCTCCCCAGTGCTGAGTAAAAGGCAAGGATCACCTCCCTTGACCTACTGGCAATGGTCTTTCTATTTGTTTATATCTCTTCTCAACATTACTGCACATGCACTTTTGGTAGCCACCTGTGGTAATTCTGCAAGCTGAAATCAGCTGTTACATAGTACCTGGCCTAAAGACATGGTTTGAGGATTTTCCTAGTGTTCAGACCAACATATCCACTGGGAGGAGGAAGGAGAGGAGGGGAAAGTAGCTGTTTTGTCCAAACTAATATTTAATGCAATTTTTCCTTGGGCTTGCTTTGTCTCTAATTCCACGTCTAGTAGATGACAAATGATGGGCAGTGATTATTTCATCTGGATAATCCATGGATAAGCATTTAGCTTGTGGAACTTTATGCACTGAAGAAAATAAGTTAATCAAGGTAAGAAACATGAAGGCGTCAGAGGCTAGGCAGATATTATGGAACGCTGATGGCAAAAACCTTCTCGTTACAAGTCATTTTATGCATTACCAACCGTTAAGAAGTATGGCTAGGCAAAAATACTACCACATAAAACCATAATATTTGCATAATCAGATCAACTGAGAAGATATTTTAGTACGATAAAAGACACTGCATAAAACAAAACAGTCATCTAATTACTCACAGATCATAGCTAAAAAAGTTTACAAGCTTTGACTTGGAAGGATAAGACAGGGATAAAGAAACAGGTTTTTTTCCATTACACTCTTGTATTGAGTAGCTATTAAGAAAAAATATTCTAGTAATGATGAAAAATATATATGGTAAAAGATCTACTTGATACTTACTATCTGCTTTGAATTCTGCCATTAGATGCCCTGAAATCAGTTCTTCCACTGAAGATTCCAGCTTCCGCTCCCCATCAATAATCCAAGGAGTCTGAGGTAAATTCCTTGAATATTTGTTGTATCTTCCTGTAAAAAACAACTATGTTACCTGTAATCATTCTAAAGCAATGGACAAAAAGCTCCAGTATTGCACAGCACAACACATTTAACCTTCATTGGAGTCTTGTGAAAATAAATTTACAGGCTTAAGCTTGTTTTACGGCAACAGTATGAAACGCGTGCTGCTGCACCTACAAGAGTTTCAGTATCCAAGATGGCCAGCTTAAACGTAGACTTGGAGAGCCTATTGCTGCAGTCATACCTTCAGGTATAAGCATAGAAACAAAACTGTATATAGCCTGATGCAACTGGGAATAAAACCCAGAGGTTCAAGTGCCCAGCCTGAGACAACTTAATTTTGAATGGGAAATTTTTTTTTGTAATCAGAGCACACTCTTGAACCAGCCTCCCATACACCAAACTAGTGCAATACATATGCCTGTCCACGAATGCTTATGTGTCCCAAGTAAAGAAGTTCCCACACTCTCCTGTATCAAGTAGTTCAGGTTTCAATCCAAGTTCTGCCATTGTCTGAATGTTTAACAAAAGAAACCCAAACTAAAATGCTTTGGCTCATTACAAGGAAAACCATGCAAGCAAAGCGTCTCAATAAACTAGTATGAATTTCAAGAACCCTCAAAAGTTGCCACGTAAAGAGATTGCCATCCTCTGACTGATTCCAGTCATAGTCTGTTATGTCACACTAGCATGCCATCTCCCGTGACATGAGGACTGCTACAACCAAAGAACAAGTCTGACATGGATGACCAAAATGAGCTTTCTTATTCACAGGCTTTATAAGAAGTGAAAATATGCATAAAACAAGGAACTCATTCATAAAGAACAATGAGTAACCCCCCTGCACAAACAAGTTTAAATCTGAAACCTTGCATATAGAAAATAAAAAGAGTTCAAAGTAGCTATGCATATTATACTGTGCCTCTGTCATCTCAATGTTTTTGGTTTTCAGTATCATATTTTCCTATTTCTAACATTGTTTCCTTCTTGCATTTTGATCTGCAGAAAAACCGACACAAACAAATGGGGAAACTGACTAATACTGTTTCAGTGGGGCAAATAATGAAAGTTCTATGACTAATCATTCAGAAGGCAGCTTCACACTGCTAAATTCTCTTTCCACAAAATGGAAAAAGGAAAATAATATTTTTTTTCTCTCAACTCCCCATTCTAATAGTTTTAGCTTTTGATCTGAACAAGAGTGGGTTAAAAAAAACAGAAGGTGTTTCTCAGTTTGACAGCTTCTCCTGAACCCTTAAAAAAAAGTTGGGGGGGAATTGATCACTAAACACCAAAGATAAGGTCAGGAGGGCAATACCAACTCTGAAACTGTGCTTACAAATTAAGGGCCCGTCTCATTTAATAGTAGCAAAAGAACTGCACTGTACCCAATAAATTCTATTCTGGATTTAATTCTTAAAAAATTAAAGACAACATACTGCCTGGGGTTTTTTGTTTTGGGTTTTTTCTTTTTTTTTTTTTTTTGTTGAAGCAAGCTATAAACTATAAATCACAAAACCAGTATTAAATCACATGCAGAAAGCCAACCCTCTGTCTCTTTCTCTCTCTCCATACAGATGAATTCTGATAAAACCATCCAACAAAACAATCTAAAACAGAACAGCATGTTTGGAAAAGGCTAAAAGACACTGGATACCTTGGATTCATGAAAATGTATATCTAACTGTCTAATCAGTAATTAAAAATAAGAAACAGGTATGTATAGAACATCAACATTCACTTTTGCATTTTTCTTTTCATTTTACATTTTCCTTTATTCAGGATTTGTACCATCCTTTTAAACACAGTATGCTGGATTTAAATTGCAGGTTTGGGGTTTTTTTAATAATCTGTTTGCATATGTTTAGATAAATGGTTGTTTATACACAGGACTGTGAGAAGGGTAGATACTCTTGCAGGCAGGTGATAAAAAAGTTGAATTGTCTCAACTCAGGGACACCAAGTGTTGTTGCATTACCTGTCTCACTCACTTATTTCAGATGCTATCTTGGTTTGGAGGGGGGTAACTGGAAAGAGCTAAGCTTTCCAAAATTTAACCTTTATTAATCCTATTAAGATTGGCAGGTTTGGGTGGAATAATATGCAGATAAATCCAGACGGTGAAAACCTCTGAATCCAAATCAAAATCCAAGCAAGTGAACAGCACTGCCAGGAGCTTATTTAGTGGGGAAGTGCCTTTCCCAAACCACGTGCTTATTATGAGGGGACATATTACAACTGCAAGATTTGCAGGGATAAAGGCTTTCTGAAGGGGGGAGCAAGCTTTGACAACAGCGCAAAATTCTTTGTTTCATAAACTGCTTCTGGATAAGCCCCCTTAACGAGCAGAGGCACAAAGAAAGTTTTTTTAAGTCTTCACATCACCCTGTGCTGTCTTTAGAAGACAAAACTCTTCCATCTCTCAAAGCAAAAGAAAAACAATGGCAAGGAAAAGCAGGATCTTCCTAAATATCCAGAAGGGAGGTGTGCACACACTGGGAGCAGCCAAAGTGACATGCTCCCCTCCTGCAGCTCCTACCATGGGAACCCTACCTTGGCCCTGATACCACTGTCTGCAGCTCCCACTTCTTTTCAACTATATTCCACCACACACTATCTCCAAGTTTAAATTCACAATGTAAGAGCAGGCAAATAGTTCTGATTTTAGCATGTTGATCTGTAATTTCTAAGTTTTGACAAAATCATGTCTTCAGCAAAGGCAAGTATGATTTCTTCCCCTTTCGAACAAGTCCACTCTTGGATAGAGCTAGATTTGTTTCTTTGCTCCTTTTATATATACTTAATTACAGGAATCAACATAGCAAGAATCTTCTTGGTCTCGTGGCAGTATTATAAGGTTATGTTTAAGACAACACAGCAGCAAATAAATGGATCACTTTACCAGCCACAAAAACTGCACCATTATTGCACTGAATTTCCAGAGCAACACAGAGGTTCTTTGGTGAACTTGGGGGACATGGAAAATGCCTGTATAAAAAAAGATTAAAAAACGCTAGTAATACCGGAACATGATGGAGCATTACCATAGCAATAATGGCATGAAAGATGACGACTTCAGTTACACAAAACACAGCTACAGCATAAACTCAGTATTCACAAAAGCTGGAACACCAAGAAATTGATAAACATTAAGCAAACCAAGAACACTGCATTGCAAATTCTTTTGTCAATCTGTCATCAAATATTATCGAAGTATAACACTCCAAAGTGTGCTAATAAGATGTACCGTATTATAGCTATAGCAATAATGAAACTAAATACTGCATGAAAACTATCTCCAGGATCTATCACTAAATCTTTGCTAGGAATCAAAGAAAAGAGCTGCGAAGACTTAGTGCAATTAAGCACAGTGAACTACAGAGAAAGTGTCTGTTGATGTCTTCCCACTGCCTGTGATTTTTACCATATTACAGCACTTGGTGTTTTCTTAAAAGTCAACTCCTAACATTTTGGAAATATGGGAAAAAGTCTTTCTTTGAAAGGCAAGCTTCTTTTTACAAGTCTAAGGTTCAAAATACAGAAGGAAGTTCCATGATTTCTAAATCTCTTCTGTGGTTTTGGGGATGTACATAAAGATTTTTGAATGTAAATGATTGGCAAAACTACAACAAACTGGTTTCACTTCTAACTGTTCTAAATCCCATGCCAGCCCTGAGATCTGCAGTGACGTACTGCTGAAAGCACAGAGCAGAACTGCAGCTCTGTGACCCGCAGTTTCTCCTCTGTGCTGCTCCTGAGATAATCAACCAATGAAGCATTTTTAGTAATGGAAAAAAGAGCATCATTTGTGTCATGTCCAGTTTTCAATCCTCTGTGGCTTAACTCAAGCATTTTAAGATTACCCCTTAATTAAAAGATTTGGAATGACTTTCTATTACCAGAAAAATAGAAAACAGAACACATTTTAACCAGTAAACTAGCAGAATTTAAACAACTAAAAGTTCTTTTATAGACACCTTACCACTACTTACGCACCTAATATTTTCCTCCCCATCCTAATTCTATACAAAAGCACAATACTAAGAACTAGTTTCAGTATGTACTTACTTCAGAAAATCCTCTTCTTTTATCTTCTCTAGGGCTTTTATAACTGCCATTCTAGTGAAAACAGACTGCACAGTGAAATAGAAAAATGAGTCAAGAACTAAGAGAGGATATGCCTAAGGAAGAAAAAAACCCTAAAACATACATATCATACACTTCTCACAATATAGTTTTTTCACTTATATTTTGTGTTTTCTTATACCTAAAAGCAACTCTATATGAGCAAGAACTCACTGTGATCTTAACCCTAACTTTAATAGGCCAACAAAGAGCAACAGGTAATTTTGCCAAAATCTATTCAAGTAACTTTACTCACAACATGAAAGCAATACAATTAATACAGCTTACAGATTGGAACATAACAGTTATTTAGTCGTAGAACCAAGATTTGCCCCTTTGTTTCTAGAAGACACATACAAACAGTAGTATACATTTCCTCACTCTGTTTTTACACAGAAAAAAATAACAAGTGCCACTGACTTTCAGCAGGTCTAAAGCTACTGTCATGCTTCCAAATAAACCTACTCCAACTCCTTAGAATATCCAATTGCTAAGCCTGCACTTTGGTTAGCTGAAAGAAATGTTAAGCATATCTCTGGAAACTATCTTTTTTCAGATGATATACAAAAGTGTGCAAAAGCAAGAACAAAAAAAGTAGTGCTTGGGAGCTCAGGTCCAAATTTGCAAAATAGATTAAAAACTGAATCCTAAATCCATGAAGAGAAACCTAAACCAGCTTCCCCATTTTCAAGAGTTAAGTATACCTAAGCCCCAGGTTTTATCTCAGTGACAGCAGGCAGCTAGTTCTTCTGAAATAAGACTGTTGAGTAGGTATCTGTTTATAAAGTTCAAAAGTTCATTCATACTCAGAAGGGCGGGCCCTGAATGGTAGGGCTTGGCAGTTCCTGAACTGTGGAAGGCAAGCAACTTCAGACTCCCAAGCTGCATCAGTTCACAAGGGTGAACTGATAGTAAAAGTAGTAATAATAGTACAGGCAGGAGCCACAGCTATCATGCATAGCCAGGTGCTGCTTTTGAGAACTCAAGTGAGGCTAAGGCAGAATACACAGAATTTAGATTCCTAGAACAGGAGAAACAAGTGTTGTAACAGGTGAGGTGGAATCCTACTTTAGGAAGGCTGAGGACAGTAGAAGGTGTCTAAATGAACCTCCTAATCAAAGCATGGTCAGCTATCAGATCAAACAATATTGCTCAGAGTTTTATCCAGTCAGGTCTTGAAATCCTCCAAGAATGGAGCCTGCACATCCTCCCTGCATAGCCTGTTCCACTGTCCAACTGTCCTCATGTTAAGAAGTTTTTTCTCTTATCTATTCCAAACCTCTCATTTCAACTTATTTCCACTGTCTCTTATCCTTCCACCATGCACTGTGATGAACAGCCTGGCTCCCTGTTCTCAATAATCTCTCTGTTGGTACGAGGGGGAGATTCAGTTAGGTCCTCCCAAAAGCCCTCTCTTCTCCAAGCTGAAGAAGTCCAGGTTCCTCAGCCTCTCTTCCTAGGGCATGTGCTGCAGGCCCCTGACTGTCTTGGTCACCTGCTGAATTTCCAGTTTAGTCTTTTTTGCAAACTGGATTGGGGATTTGGAAAAAACCTGAAAAATACTGGGTCACTGTTTGGGACAATTCAAGTCTTTGCTCTACTACAGAGTTCCTGGATGCCTTCAGGAAAGCTGCTATTTCTCCTTCTAAACATAAATTAGAGATAATAGCACTGCCCTTCCTTGTAGAACAGATGAACTAGAAAACCCTTAAACTAGCAGCAGGTTTAAATAACTATCTACAGCAAATGATACAGAAATTTTCACTCAGAACCCAGTTTTTCTACTACTTCTCTGATTAATACGGCCCTTGAAGCTAGCTTCAAGCACAGCTTCTTTATAAGGATGAACTGCTGACGCTCTTCAGAGTCAGTATTTTTTCTTCTAGATTCCCCTACATCTTGTTGCCTGTGTGGTTTTAACAGCCAGGCCCTGCTGATTTAGCTCCGTAAGTGGAATTTCCCCCCTTTAAAGAAAAGCAATACAGCAAGCACCAAGTTGTAACAATACAATCCTTCTAAAAAATGTCTTCCATTTATTGGTCAGGTGGAGTAGAGTAGGCAGAATTCCTGGGTCAGACTGTCTCTGCCAAATGTCGGCAGACTCTTCACCAGAAAGAATAAAAGGCCTTACATAGGCTTCTGATAGAAGTTACTTATTCTCCCTCTGATCACACCAACTGTCCTACTTATATCAGTTTCTCTCCAACTGTTTATTCTTCCATGTCCCCTTTTCTATCAATGATCGTGTGCCTGCTCAGGGTCTGCAACAAGTGGCAAGGTCCCTTTTCTTTCCTCCCCTCCTCTGAGATGGACAGCATAAAACCATCCTGCATGTATTGTGTCTTTCATTCAGATCAGAGGACATGAAAACCGCAGTGTGATCATTTCTCTTTTGGCTGCGGAGTCTCATCTTCACAATGCGACTTATCTGAACTGTTTCACCCACAGAGAGCTTGAGGATCATCTTTTATGCTACTTTTAATGCATAACAATCAAATTCCTAGATCTTAAGGGAGATATTTACAAAGAACATTCCTAAAATTACATCCTTTAGACAGTCTGGAAAACGAAATGACCTAAAGAAAAGCACCAAGCTTTTAGTCTTCCTAAGAAGAGAAATGTTAAATGAATAAAGGAGACAACTTTATTTTCAGACAATTCAAAACTAAAGAGAATTTTGATGAAGGAAAACCAGACATTAAACACTGACTGGATAGCCAGATAAGTTCTTCATTGTACCTACTGCTGTGAAATTCTGATTCTCAGAAAAGAAATACAACAATGATGAGATCCTACCTGTTTGTTCTTCGCTGGTTTGAAACAGTCTGGACAGGCTGTTGCTCTAAATACAGAAATGAAAATTAGCTGCTACTCTTACAGAAAAAGACATAAACAGACAGAAAGACTTATAAACATAGCATGTACATGGTCTTTGGATCTCGCATGTCCAGTATCTCATACGTCCAGTATCTCATACGTCCAGTATCTCACTTCCACAGCTTAGCACAGAGCAGATTTTAAAATTAAGTTTATCCTGAACCACAAATGGCAGAAGGTGTGCATTGCTTGAGCTAGAGAGAAATTATGGACAAAGGTGTGTAAGCCTATTTTGCTCTGATTAACACAAATGTGTCTCAGCTTTGAGATGGGATGGAAAAGCACACACGAAGTTTAGCTTTCAGTCCTTTCTAATCCTTCTCAATAAAGGTCATGATTAATGTTTAAGTTCTGTGCAAGATTTGCTGACATCTTGAAATCTATATTTGCTGTTCTAAGACAATGCACACTACAAACTAGAGATTCAAATCGCTGCTTCTGGATAGGAAAATTCAATTTACTACAGAAAAAGTAACCCCAGGTGTTCAATACCATTTGTGCTTTGCCTCTTCAAAAGGAAACTATTGGTCGTTTCACGAAAGTGAAAGCCAAGTCAGTGAAACACTTTTTCTGAGTACTATAGAGGAAGTTGCTGTTCCTATTAGTGGATTTCTATGTATGCAGTTAGAAATGATTTCTAGCCTACAACATAATTTATCATTCTTGCTGGTGCTTTTCAACACCTCTTTAACTACTTTAGACTATAAGGAAGCAGGTCTGACCTCTTGCTGTTTCTATACAAGCAACTTGCCTGGCCAGTTTGTGACACAAAGCATCACAAATTCCCTCTTCCAGATTTCAGTATCACCTTACCTTTAAATATAAATCTCCATATATAAACTAACAAAACCCAATTCAATCTTCCACGTCAAACCAAGGGTCATTTTAGCACACCTACCTACACATAATTGTGTAAGAACAAGCTTGAGAGATGAGAAATTGCAGATGCCACACTTGGAAATCCCACCCAAAAGCATACTTGGAGGACTTCTCCAGGTTGAGACAAGGTCCTACCTGGCTTCCATAAAAACCATGACTGTCATTACTAAAGCTGGGCCAATTGCCAAATTTACCGTATTTACACCAAAACCAAACCATTGCCTCAGAATATGCCCAGAGCTAGCCATTCACATATGCAGAATGCCTTGACACCTGAGAAACTACTATGTAATTAAACTAGGTAATATACTGTCAGAAAAGTGTCTAAAACCTTAAAAACCTGCTATTTAATTATGCTACAAAGAGAAGGCAAAAAAAGGGATATTGTCAGGTCACATGGAATAAACCTGAGTAGTTGGAATGTGGAATGGAACTTCTTTACGGCTTTCACTTCTACAACTATTCCGCTTGGAGCACTGACATTGGCACCATAACATGCTCAACATCAAAGTTTTTGAAATGACACAAAAAAGACGGAAGGATGAGCTTAAAATAAGAGCTGAGAGGTTTCAGAGGAAGGAAGAGCACTGCGGAAAACAAGAACTGATCAAGTAAAATTAAATAAATAAGAACAAAAGGGTGCAGGATCCAGAAACACTTGCGTTTTTACAGGATTGCAGGTACCATTATTTAGAATTGTAGTTTGGCCGTACTACTTTCTCCCCCTTTTGCCCAGTCTTGAAGAAGCTGGAAAGATGTTCAGCAAACACTGGTAGTCAATTCTTACTAATACCTGGTCTGTCACCAAGCATGTGTTCCCTCATCCCCCACCCCAAGACAAATGAAAGATGCAGTTGTTGAAAACCAAGAAGGTGGCAGATTCGGCATTCAAACAAAGATCACAAATTGCAAGAAGGGGTAAAATCAGGGAAATATATAAAGACTGCAAAGGAAATCTCTAGTCTCAAGACATTCACCATGCAACAGCGAAGTCTATGCCAAGCCTCTTTCTATGCTAAGATTTAACTTGCAGTAGGAGGACAAGTGATGAAACTGAGTGAAACTGAAGTTTTCCAGGAAGCATCAGCAAACAGGAAGAGTGAACCTCATTATCCAGAATACACTACAGCTAGATTTTGAGAAATCAGATTAAATGGCAGCTAAATTTACAGAAATATTTTGCTTCTTTATGTATAGCAGATGCCCTACTGGGCCAGGCCAAAAACTATGTGTAGTGGCCGGGGAACTTCTGTTTGGTTTAAACAACCAGCAAAGTTGGATTAACTCACTTAAAGTCTTCCCTCCCATCCATGTCTCCTATAAGAGCAGGAAAACTGAGGCATGACCTCAGAAGATTCCCCCACCTGCAACTATATGGTTTGAATTTATTTTTTAAAATGATACAGCAATATTGAAGAGGGTAATGACTTTGAAAAGGGCTGAAATTGAACAACTTATCTGAATGTTCTCCATCCAGTTCAAATAAAAATTCTGGACTATTTTGTTTATTGGCTTTAAAGCACAGAATTAACCAGAGATGGGGTAACTTTAAGCTCTGCAACTCTATCTGAATATAAGGAAGTTTAGATGCAGGCCCCATTCTAGTTTATAAACACTGCATATTCTCATCTGTAGCAAATCCAAACGAACAACGTTGCGCAATATTTAGATAAAGATCTTTTGTTATTTATACAGAAACTTACAGGAAATGGCACTCCTCGTCTGTTTCTGGGTGAGCAAAGACCACGCTAACTTCAAACAAACTCTAATTAAAAAAAAAGGAAGAAGAAGGTAATAGTTTTTTAAACAAACAGGGAGGATATTCTCAAGCATCCTTATTGTAGTGTTAGGAAAACAGTAAAGAAGTAGACAAAAGAGAAAGTAACCCAGTTATTCTACAACATCATCTAAAGACATTAAAACGTGTGCCATAATAGCATTTGCATTTCTGAAGTAACCAAAGATTATCTGAGTGCACTTCAAAAACATGAGTGACCTACACATCATAGATACTGGCCCCATTTTGCACAGGGGGAACTGAGTCAGAGACAGCGTATGCTCAAAGCCTATTACGGTCACTAAACTTCACAAACCTTCTGGGAGAGCAGCACACAGCGTGGAATAAAGATAAAAACCCTGTAGTAGTCACCACTGTAAAATTTTGTCAGGGGCTTCGTTTGCAATGACTGGATGGCCTTGGGGCAAAGAAAGGCAACATGTCCTAGTGGATTGACAGCTAGACCAGAAACTCTAGTGTAATCTCAGTTCTACCCCCAATTCCCTCTTTGGCCTTGGGCAAACAACACTCATTACTTCTGTTATTCAGATACCAGAACACCTCAAGAGGGCTATTGAAAAGATTGGCTAATATTCAAGTGCCTTGTAGATAAAAAGCACTAGACAAGTAACTTTTATGGTACAATGATGTCTGGAGTGGCTCAGTGCCTAAGTGTTGTAGAGCTTTTGCTAACTTGGTATCTAAGAAGTTTGTTTCTTCTTGGATCATCTTCAGGGTAACTGAGTGTTTCTTTCTTCACTAAGACAAAAGGCATGCTTTTGATTAGCACTCCTGGGAAAAGACAATCTGTAATTATTATGGAAGCTGACAAATCAACGTAAAGACTAAGTGAGTCTAGTCCTGGGGTCAGTACTATGGCTGATGACAGGTAAAAACTGCAGACTGCCTTGTCCTCAGCAGGAATTTTTGCCGTGTTTGCAGAAATTTTACATTCAAGATGATGGTGTTTCTGAATTTGTCTGGCAACATCTGAATGTCATGTTCAGTCAATGTAATTCAGAAACATTTTAAGAATGTTAGTCAGAATCTGGAAGTTGAAAACAGGGTTTGAAAAAACATGTCTATTGCCTACTTACAGGTATTGCAGGTTCAAACATGCCTATGTCAAGCATTCATTAAAGTGAACAAGGACCAGTCTTTCCTCTTTCCATATATTTCAGAAATATATTTTATCCATAGAATTTAACATGCTAACAACCTGAACAATTCATCTCACACAGCAGTAACAGTGTTGACAGTAACAGGAGAGCAAAGAAGGAATGTGTGTGTGAGCATTCCTTACCCTCTGGAAAACAGAGATCCTGGAAAATGAGAAAACCAAAAAAGTCTTAATGATAAAAGGAGGATGGCAGCCAAGAGCAAGAGATTTAGCAAAAGACTACAATGGTTTCAGGAGATGCAGTGATCTATGTGTACAAAAATGAAGATTGGACCCCTCAGTACTGAGACTTGGAGATCTCCAGCTAAAAGAGCTTCCCCCCTACTTCCCCCTACAGTGAATGTAAGAGCAGTGCAACTTGTTTATCTCTTAATGAGGGGAAAAAAAAGTATATATATTTTTTCCCCTCGTACATATAAGTGTATAAATATATGTATACACACACACAAATACATATAAAAAAAGGAAAAAAAACAGAGAGAAAAAAAGCTTTTTCTTATTTATACGACACCTTTCCATCAGCAGGAACACCCAATTCCTCTGACAACTGGGGATGAATAATCCACTTATAAGCTTCTTTCAGCTGAACAATGTCATCCTTTGCCAAGGAAAGGCCCAGATTTCTGAATCACAAAGAAATAATAACTTGTACAGGGGTCTGTCAAAGATAGATACATGACATATAATATTTCAAGACAAGCTTAAGTAACTAGTGCCAGGTAAACAAGCAATGCATGAATAAAAAAGGACAAAAGTACTAAGCATACAGACCATGGCATGAAAGAATGAAAGGCTGTTCCAAGACCTCCTATAACAGCACTGAATCTTTGTATTGAATTAACAAACAAAGTGTTGAGGAAACATTAAGGCCAGACCAGGATTCCAATTAAGATGCTTCCCAATAAACACATAAGAGTTTGGCAGGGAGTAACTAAAGGTATTTGAGCTACAGTCAGCTCAAGCACAGGTAGGACTATGTTACCTCCTCCCTCCCTGCCTCTGGCCTTGCATTCCTGCCAGCACTTGCACGCTGACACTACACAGCATGGGAAGTAATACCAGTCCATTGATCCCATTTAAAGCAAACCCTAATCCACCAAAAAATAAGTTTTGTTTTTCAGCCACCTCAGTGAGGTGATCAGGTCTCCCAGTGGTCGCATAAGCACTTACGTTAACGCAAGAAAGACAGAAAGTACACGCAGGTGGAGGCAAGATCCTTCTGATAGTAGATCAACATATAGTTCAGCTTAAGTAAACTGAGTATCTGGATCCTGCAGGGCAGCACCTGTGCTACTTGCTAAGGAGCCTCTTGTACAGTTTCCACCCTAAGCAATATCTTGTTTTGCCCTGTTTCTATTTGCCAGTGGGTTTTTTTTTCACTAACATTTAAATATAGATTCTTTTTTTTCCTGTGTAAAAGAACATGCACTGAGGAAACTCATGCCATAGCTTCATGGTAGATCAAAAGTTGCAAAAGTCTTTCCAGAGCCTACCTGGAGAAGAGCTGAGAAAGAGATGCACAAAAATTCTTTGTTTACAAAAACAAAGAATCAAGCATTTAAATTGATTTCAGAACACTGAGGTATAAAAAAGAAGAGTCAAAACTAACTTGCAGCCACTGCACTAGTATCTTTCTCGCTACACTACTGACTCTTCACCATTATCTAACAATTTTCAGTTACTATTAATGTAAGCTAAACCTGATATGGTGGCAAAATGCAGAGGTCTGTATTTCATTATGTCTGCTATGTACAAGAAGATTCTGGCTCACAGATGGCATCATGGCACCTCTCAGGACCATTAAGTTAACTCAAAGCTGTACAGTTGGACAGACAGCCTCCAAGTTGAAACACCACGTGCTAGCTATAATCACACCATGAGGCAAAAGAGATAAGAAACCCCCAAAAAGGTCAAACCAAGTCAAAAAAAAAAACCCCAAACCCCCACAAAAAACAGCTGCCACCTATCCTCTGTAAGCATCAAGTAAAGTGGACAACTGGAAAAGACTATAAAATCAACTTGTGGCCTGCTCAACATTTAGAGACAAACGCTGTCTACATAAAAGAGTTCTTGTCAGACAGTCAGCAAGAGCTATGGACAATAAAAAATAATAATAATAAAAAAAAATTACAGCACATCCCAATTCTGAATTTCCTTATGCTTAGTTTTAAAGGTACAAAGTTAAAATCTTGGCCAAGGACATAGGAAGTGAGCCTACATATTCCACAACTGTTAGCAGTATATGAAAGGAACAGTCTTGACTTCAAAAATACAGCCTTAATTGCTTGGTTACAATTTTTTCTTAACATCTCAGCAGGTCCACTGCATTAAGTGGTTTCTGATTTCTGCTACACTGGAAAAAAGTTATAGTAAGAGTATCTCTCCTTTCTCTAAATCTGGAGAACTCTCTAATAGAGGTGGTATGAAGGTTGCCAAAAGAAATTACTCACCCCATTTCCTGTTTTACCAGCAGCCAAGCAGCACGCTATAGGTCACCAGCCATGCCCAGGAAGAAGAGAGAAAAAGAAAAAAAAAAAAAAAAAAAAAAAGAAAGGGAAATTAAGGCTCAAAACTCCCAACAATCTGAGACACTGTTAGCAGAAGGAAAAATGTTTTAAAAACTCAGGACAAAAAGGAAGCATTAGGATTTTAATTTAGCTTTTGCTTTAGAAGATAGAATTGGTGTTTGTTTTTATTTGTAAGACATCACTTTGCAATTCACCTCAAATCCTATCTGGCTTTAAAAAAAGACTGGACTGCATTAAACACACTTTGAAACTGGCTATTAATGCTATAACTAGAAAAAGACTCTGACAGCCTAAGTCAAGTGCAACTAGCAGTTATCTACAGAGAAATAAAAAAAAAAAAGTGTCTAAATGCATGGTATATGAAAACGTGATTCAACACATAGATTAAAAAAAATCAAATTCGGTTACCATCCATTATAAAAAACATGACATAAAAGACATACTTGGTCTTATGGTAATCGTTAACCTTTTCCCTGAGGACTGCCCCCTTATTTAAAGCACACCACTTAGTTTAGGAGACATGGACTGAATGTGAGAAAGCTGAGGACCAGAAGGAATAATTCTAGAAATCAGAGGGAGCTTTTAGTACCAATGCTCGAGTTCACTAACAGTTATCACACAGCATACATGGGAATGGCTGGAAGATGTGATCTGAGAACCATGGGCAGATTCAACCTTGAATTCTCCCTTTTCATTTCCCAATTGTCCCTCTGTTGCTCTGTGCAGATTCTCTGTGAATACCACCTTCTGCAGCTCCTGATACACTTCTGTCCATATGTGACCATAGGATAATTCAGGGACCTCAGGAGGTCTCTATCCAACCTTGTCCTTATAGCAGAATCTGCTATGAAATCAGACAAGGTTGCTCAGGGCTCTATCCAATTGAGTTCTTGACATGTCCAGTAATGGAGACTGCACCACCTCTTTGGACAACCTGCTCTAATGCGTGATTGTCCTCAATCTGTGCATTGTAAATACTTCCTCAAACTCTACTCCTCTCCTCTAGCAGCCTTATATATGTAAAGAAACATAATGTAGCAGGCCCCTTAGATGTGACACTGCCCAGGAAAGACCTATCACTTAGGTGTCCCAGCCAACAAATGGAAATCAGCAGTAGAAGAATTAACAATGCTTATAACAAAGGTCAAAAGCAGAATTAAAATTACCAGTGGTATGAAAGGACAATAGAAAAATACAAAAGTAAGCACAAAGAAGCAACATCCATCAGATCAGTGCAACACAAATGGACTTGAACAAATTTTAAAACTATCATGAAATTGAAGACTTCCAAACAACATTGCTTATGCCCAAAGCTTCCAAAAGCATCTCTTTCCCAAACTCTGCTCTAGGGAGCCAAATATTTTAGAGGTGCATCTCTTTGCAGTCTCACTCACTTTTCTTTGTACTGACATATTGATTCTACAAAATGATCTATTACTTCAGTGTAGTAATTGTTCAGCACTTTAGTCTTTAAATTTTGCCTCTGCATGGGCCAAGAGTGACTGCCATTCTCTACACCACAATGAAGACATACCTTACTAAAATGAAGTGCATTGCCGTTAACCAGAATTTTAACTGTGACCCCAAACGGCCTTTCTATTAGGTCTTTAATTAAGTGGAAAAAAAAGTGATGTTGGACACAGTTATTCAGACAACCGTACAATGTTTCCATTTCAACTGAATGCCTATCAGTGCAAAATCAATTAATAAGAACCGCCCCCCCCTCAAAAATTCCTACAAGGAAGCAAAAACAATAACATTTTCAGTTCTTCCTCTACTAACAACAACAACGAAACACATTGAGACTGGCAGGATACCACTTAACTGGTATCCTTAATAGAACCTGTAATGTCAATACACAGCCTGGACACCTAGTCTCACCATCCCCACTGAAGATGAATTGCAAAAAATCAAGTTGTTTGGCTTGAAGCAACTACAATGAAAATATCAGAATTAGTTGTTTTCAATCTGTGGACTACAGACTACTAGGAATTTGTCAGAGAAAGGTGACTCCATACGCTTGTCATACAACCATATACACATATACAATGTCCAAAAGAGTTGGTATCTCAAAATCGGTGAACTCCACTGGTTCAAATTCTTCACAATTTTAAATCCCTTCCCTGTCTTTCACTCTTCATATATGGTGCTTTAAGAATAACCTCCCCCCCAAACCCTGTTGAAAGAATTACTGTCTATTGTCAAGGAAATAATTCTAATGAAGAGGTTTGAAAACATGTATCAAATTTAAAAGGAGCAGAGCCAAGATCACATCATCTTTTCATTGATATCAAAAGGAACCACATCACAGATCTCTTTTACATGCTAATAGAGGAACTCAAAAAAAAAAAAGTCTATTATCCTTCCTTTGGTACATCTAAAAGAATGAGGGAATCCTAAAAACAATGCTAGAAATATTGAAGGGAGAGGACACAAACTTTGTTAGATACATGATATACAAAACTGCATGCTACTGAACAAAATAAATACAGTATTGATGGAATACTGTTTACTCAAATTCACTGTGATTCATTATCCTGCATAAGTAGACAGTATAAGACTGCTTCACAAAACACCATGAAGTATATTGTAATCTTGTTTGCATAATAACCCAGATAAAATCATAAAGAAAAAGTTTCCAATTGAAATTCCTTGAACATAATTCTGAACTAGAGAATATGACAACCATAGAACTGGGTCTAGAAATCTGCATTTGACAAATGCAATTTAAAAAATTTCACATGCCTTGATTTAAAGCACATGTAGGTTTGGTACTCAGTCAGGTGGCTAATCTCACTCCTTTCCCCTGTTTTATAGGGGTACGATTACAAAATAGAGAAAACCGCATGTGAGTAGCTATGCTAAAATGAGATGCCGGGTCAAATTTCATCTCCTCTCTCCTGACTTCAGAACTGAAAGAGAATTAAAGAAATTACTTTTCCCCTTCAATTAAGAGGAAGCAATAGAGTAGGGTACTGTGAGCACAGAAGCCAAAAGATCCCAAATTCCAAATCACATTCAACCACCAAGCCAGCCAAACTCCTCTACTCCTATGCCTTCATTCCCCTGCTCCACTCTCTCCCAGCTGTATGTGAAGCAGGGGATCAGATCCCTCTACTTCATAATTACTTTATGTTTGTGAAGTGGTTTGAAAATGAAAAATGCTCATTACAGAGCTCAAGCCTGCAGGGCAATGCTTAACAGCAAATATATTTCTGAAATACACTGGCTCAGGCACTATATTGATTACAAGCTGCAGGATATTATTCTAATGCTATCTGAGGGATCACAGTGGCAACAGTTGAAATACCATGTGCAATCCCAGCCACACCATTAGAAAGGGCTTCAAGATGGGGAATTCCATGATGAGGTATACACAGTCCTACAGGGAGTAATGACTACAGATGCTATTTGCATCAATGTCCTTGTAGGAGGTACCAGGATGATGGATCACAACTGAGACTACAGACATAGCTAACAGTCACCCTTTTGAAGGGCATGACTCACTTCATATTCTAATATAGTTGTCTGACATAAACTTGGGACTCTTGTATTTATGATTTATTTTAATCAAATATCCTACTTGTGCAAAGAGGTGATAGCTTCTTTGCATTACAGATACAAATACTATGCAAATGTAAATTTTATGTCTCACTCTTCTTCAGCTCCCATCATACGTTTTAGAGTTGGCAGGATGACAACTGTCATAATTAAATTAGTTGAAGGTAATATTAAAAGGCAGTTTCTGATTTTTTGTTAAAAGGAAGTCAGAAAATCTGTGTGTCATACAAAAGGTCAATGGGAGGGAGGCTGTCTTTGGGGTGTCCTTTTATGATAAAATTACATATGTTCTCGTACAGTGCAGTTCAAAGAATTAAAAGCAATATTTAACAAAAGACCTCTTTTCAACACAAAGCATTTTGAGATATTTGAGATATTCTGACTTTATATTACTTTCTGCTTTTCTGTAACTGTAAAACTGGAACTGTTTTTTACCAATTTTCTGAAGTGATAAAGGGACAGGTGATAAATAACCCCCCATGATTTTAAAGAGGTTCTTTCTCCACCATCACCCATTTTCGCCACTTCAGTTAGAGCATAGCTACACAAACAGCTGCTTTAGCATTTGGCAAGACTGAAGGGATGGAATAGAAGGGACAGCAGGAACTTCCTAATGCAGACCTGCTCCCAGACGAACTGAAACTGTTTCCAAAGAGAACAAATCTGGTTTTGGAGCTTCCTACTCACTCATCTCACTCTACCTATTCATTTCTGGACCCACACCACAACTTGTATTCCCTTGGCTGTACCAAGCACTTTAGTATTGTTTGTTTGCTTTAACATAGCGACAAGATACCTTGAATGAAGCAGATGGACAGGTTAAAAATTACATCTCATCCTTTTTATCACACTAATAATTTATTGCACTTAGAAGACAAAGCTGTTATAAAGTAATAAATCTGGGTTTCTAGCAACTGCATTTGCCAAGTCAGTTTTCCCAGTCCACACAGTCTCAGTGTATCATCAACATTTCAATCAGCAAGAGGAACTCTCTAAAGCAAACTATTATTTTTTGCTTCCAGTTACAGCCAAGGCTGCCTCCAAAGCAGACAGACACACTTGCCCTGCTTGTTCAGATTAGTGCAAGAATGTCACTGAGCTAGAACTGCAATGCAACAACACCCTCTACCGAGGCATTCTGGCAAAGACCCACAAGGAGGGTGAGGAAGAACAGCATCAAATTCTTCTTTCCTCGCCTCCATCATTATATAGCTATGCTATGAAAAAAAAAAAAAAAAAGAGGTTATTTTTAAGCTAGATAAACTATAGCTGTCAAGCTAAAGATGCATAATGGAAATGTATTAAGAACCTGGTAACTTGGGAATTGCAGGTGGGACTCTAGCTGAAAGATTCTGTGCATCACTGTTTTTTGCTCATTGAGGCTATAATGAATAGAGTAAGGGAGGTCTCAGTAATGACTAGCAAAGATAGACTGAAAATGGAAAAGACCTGATCAATAGTACCCTAAAAATAAAAAGGCTCTTCTTTTTTTAAACACCTAAGCTTACACCAGGCATAAAGTTGGAGTAAGTCTGACCTACATTTGGAGTTTTACAGAGCATCATGGGCACACAAGCATGCATCCATATACTCACCTAGCCTAAAAGTGGTTTTTTGACATATCTCATGTTTTGGATGACCATAAAATCAAATGGGAATAAGGGCAGTTCATGCAGCCAGAAAGCACACAGCAATTTGTTCTGGTATTATTTTACCAGATACAGTGGCAGCTGAGGCAAACACACCAACTATGCTCACTTTCAGATGGGAAGTAGAGAATCTTATGTTCAAGAAGTCTTAGAAGTAGAATATGTTAGCACAATACAGCTATTACACTGGCATTTGCCTGAGATGCCAGAACTAACAGGACAAAATCAACACTAAAAGTGTAGTAGATTATTTAACAATCAAACTGTGTGGGATGAGAATAGACCTAACCACAGGTTTATATATTAATCCAAGACCACCTCCACTTCTTTCTGCCATGTTCACTGAAGCTTCTACTACATCTTACCACAGCAGGCAGCTATCGTAAAGATTTACATGTTGCCTTTCAGAATAGTATTTTTGCATCGCTTTATATCAGAAAGCAGGGGAACGCCGTAAAACATCTCACAAGTAAGCAAAAATTGTTGCTTTACTGATCAAGTTATACTACACTTAGTATTCTCCCTCAATTAAAAAAAATAATTACCAGGGTTATACACTCCTCCATATTATCATTATCCTCTGTAATTAAATGTCTGAAATGTAAACAATTTAAGTTTGATTAAAATTGCCATCAAAATCGGTAGCTTTACAACTGCTATAAACCGTAGTTTTACAAATCTAGACTTTCAACAATGCCCAAGACAGGTGACTATTAAAATGCGTATTTTCACACCATTTAAAATTCTGAACAGTTAAAGAGTTCATCTTCAAATTCCTTCATTTGTATTCTGCACTACCAATTATCATTTATTTCAGGGAAGGCACCAGCTGTGCAGTTCCTTCTCTGAGAAGATCCACAAAGCAGAGCTGGCATCTGTACCAAAGGGAACAATACACTGAGGGTTTAAAGAAACTCCTTTTAGATTTTCAGACGTAAAGTAACTCCTGGGCTAACTGAAAACTGAAGTGACTCAGACACTTTATTAATTAAAATAATACTCACCAAAAAGGAAGGGGAGAGCAGACTTCACTTCTAGCATGTGTTTGTGGTTTTTTAAAACAATAGCAATTAAAAATCAAACCACCTCCAGCTTGTACATTCCACAGTTACTTTCTTTAATATGCATTTAAGTTATGAAGAAATATCCGTAAACACTTACCTCCCTAACAGACAGCTGTGGGGGTAGCGACATAGAAAATACAAAACTAGTGAACTGGTAGTCAGCGGAATTAACCTTTTGGCACACCTGTAAGAGAAAGATTTTTTTAATGTTAAACCACAGCAATGGAACTGAGTTGATAATCTTTTGCCATATTCTTTATTCTAGCGTAATCACTGTAAATCCATGTTAATACACATTCAGATAGATGCCAAACATACAAACCAGAGTAATCCCTAACATCTTACTGAAATACAAGCTTTTTTGTTCTGTTAATAAAAAAGTTACAAATAAACTGTACACTTATTGCTATGAAACAACCAAGCTCATTGTTTTAAGGCTAAGACCAATTGCATATCTTAGTGCAATGAATTACACCACAGTGACCAAAGGCTAGAACAGCTGACTCAGAATGTCTTTCTTCCTGGCAGTGATAAATTCTGTGACAATAAAAATGTTTAAGATCCCTGGATAAGACAGGAACAAACAGGTATCCACAGTATTAATTCATACTCACTCTTCATTGTAAAAAAATCACCTTTATCACTGGAAATAAAGTAAAAACCCAAACACACATCAAACATTTTAAAGTAGCCTAGTGAGAGCTGATGGCCAGATGTCCCTACTGGAAGTAAGCTTAAACACACACGGAGAAGTCATCCAAAAGGGGAGTGATTTTAGTGAGCGTTAAAGACAAATTCTGAGCTTTCAAGGTGAAATCGACATCTCAGATAAGGAAATTTCCTTATAAAATAATCAGGTTTTGTGGTGCCTTAACAAATGCTGTCAGATTTGCCATTGCTACTCAAGAGAGTAACTCCGAAACAAGTCTTAGAAGTGGATTCAGTAAAAGTATATATACTCTGCCAATGGAAACAAAAAAGAAACACCATGCACTGCAACAACAGAAACTATATACTACGCTTTCTGTTTAGTCCCATTTTTAGATATATTCATACTATTAAACCAAATTTTTTTCTATTAAAAGTCTATTAAACATCTCAAATGCAAGTGGGATTTTTCTAGCCAGTATTTCAGTTTGTCACATAAGCAATTTTATTCCTCAGAGATGATGTTTGCAACAGTCATTATGCCCATATTCTCTCCTAACTCATATTTTCTCCATTATCTACAATCTGTTGTATCACCAAAACATTTTCTTCCTCTGTGGCTTTCTAAATAGTAGTACATTGTAAAGACAGACTCATGCTATATTAGGAACATGTAGTTAAGCTGAAGAGCACAGCAGTTGATGTCTCCTCATTTTCCCTTCACACAAAAAAAGTGAAGAGAGGTCACCATTTAGAGTGAGGTTTTCCTTGTAATCTAAGCAGCTGAACCTCAAGTTATCTCCTAAATTCACGTAACCATGCATCTGTTAAGTCCTTTTCTTAGGAAAATGTGCGCCTGCATTCCTGCAGTCATTCCATTGCACCTGCATTGCTATTTTTTTTAAAAGCTACACTATGACAAGGCCTGGGTAAAATACGGTCACACCGACAAGTTTTCTTTCCTGGCTGCACAGGAGGTACACACACTGTCCGTGAGCAGTACGAAGCTGAATGGCGCCACCTACATTTCAAATATTCAAAATAGGTAATGTTTCCAGTTGTTTTCCAGTGTCTTTCAATTGTTTAACTGCATGGTGTTTTTAATTGCCAGCTCTATACTGTAGGTCCCAACACACACAAGCTCCAGAAAAAGTACATAGAAAGACTAAGAACAGGTATTTATTTACCTTTTTAACAAAGTCAACCTCGCAGAACTCTTGAAGAACTCCCAAACACACGTTGCAAACCTTCACAGCCAAGTTCTCCACTGCAGTATCTTCATTGTTAACCAAAGGAAACTGCTGGAGTCCTCCATTGTGGTTCACATCATCAGGCCCTTCTTCTGTGTGTTCAAGTCTGATTCTCTTACAAGGTGGATCAACTACATCAAAACAAACTGTATCTTCTTTTTCTTGATTTTTTTTCAAAAATTCTTTTAAATCCTTCATCAAATCCTAACACAAGCAGAGGAATTATACTGTTGTTGGTTTTTTTCTCTTTTCTCCAATGCCGTAACAAGCACTTATAAACACAATTCTAAAAGGTAGTACTAACCATTCCAGTTTAGCCTTGGTGTACATAATTAATAACTTGGAATTTCTACACAATTAAAAAGCTCCAAGCTGTATTTCTCTCAAAACATTATCCAGGGAAATTGAATTTTGCTGAACAGACTTGTTTATCATCCAAGAAGAGTGAAAACATTTTACAGATCTGACTTGCAGAAATGCATTTATCTTTGGCCCTATCACTATTCAATGAAAACAGATGTTTATTGCCTTTTTGTTTGTCATTATGTTAGCATTTAATCCCTCCAACTCCATTAGCCCAGATGACTAGGAAGAGAGTTGACTAGTATAGTATGAGAAGAAAATGAAAGCAGATACAGGTGAGGGTGAAATTAAATATAGAGAGGAAGAACTTCATATAAAGAGCAAAGCCTACAAAAATTAAAGGATGTGCTGGTAAGGAGAGAGAAGAATTACCTGCATGTCTCTGAATTTTAGGAAGGATGAGAGATAGAGGCAAGACATAGTTCCAAAAGAAAAATTTATTAAAACGTCTTCAGTAACAAAGACAGCAGTTACTGTGTTGTTGCAACTCAGAGGAAAACTACGTAGAGATGCAGAAGAATAAAAAATGGCATACAGAATGAAAACTTCTCAAATGATGGAAAATGGAAAAGGATAAAGAAGAAAGATGTTAAAAATGAATTCTGGAGAGTCTAAACTTAAATGAAGGTGAAAAAATCAAAGCAGACACCAGAAGATGCAAGCATAAAGACAAGGGATGAGACCAGGTAAACAGAGATGTTTATTTGGCCTACACAATGAGAGAGGTCTCAAAGAACAAATATGGAGGAAGATCAAATAGCCAAAACCAAGTTGAGGAGTATCAAACAGAAGAACAAAGGCAAGAATGATTGTGCACAGCTAGGAAAAATTTGAGGAACACTCAATTTCAGCACTAAGGTCAGCTAAAAAGGACACCTAATAACACTGTGTTTGACTGATTGAAAAAGGAAGATCTATCTTTAACCTGTGCTCCGCAATTCTTCAGTTACGTCCCCCTACCAATTCTACTGAAAGAAGAAGGAAGTATGAGGCAAAAAAGTTTGGAGCATAGATGGTTCCTCCTCTGCATCAGCTGCACTGCCCACAACCCCTTTACTACTTATTACATTAAAGGAAAAACAACAGAGGGAATAGTCATAGCTGCTGTGCTTCAAAAGTGATAGAGCCATGCTGTGCAGAAGCTAACATGCCCTGTTTTCTGGTGTCTTCAGGGAATACATAGCAACTTTCACAGTCAAACTTAACATTTAACCCACAACAATTGTTATTGTACGATTCTTGTAATTTCTCAAAATTTCAGTGTAGCACCAGTAATTTTTCATAACTCATTTTGCAAAGTGTTTTTGTCCTGGTTTCAGCTGGGATAGAGTTAATTTTCTTCCTAGCAGCTGGTATAGTGCTATGTTTTGGGTTCAGTATGAGAAGAATGTTGATAACACACTGATGTTTTCAGTTGTTGCTCAGTAGTATTTAGACTAAGTCAAGGATTTTTCAGCTTCTCATGCCCAGCCAGCAAGAAGGCTGGAAGGGCATAAGAAGTCTGGAGGGGACACAGCCAGGGCAGCCGATCCAAACAAGCCAAAGGGATATTCCATACCATGTGACGTCATGCTCAGTATATATACTGGGGGGAGCTGGCCGGGGGACACTGTGGCTTGGGGATTGGCTGGGTATCGGTCAGCAGGTGGTGAGCAATTGTATTACGCATCACTTGCTTTGTATATTCTATTATTATTACTATCATTTTCCCTTCCTTTTCTGTCCTATTAAACTGCCTTTATCTCAACCCATGAGTTTTACTTTTTTTTTCCAATCTCTCCTCCGTCCCACTGCGGGATGGGGAGTGAGCGAGCAGCTGTGTGGTGCTTAGCTGCCGGCTGGGGTTAAAACACGACAGTTTTCCTCTCAGGCAAAGAGCCCAAGAATGCAGCAACCTTCTCCTCCAGGGTAGTGCAAAGAACACTACATTCATATGTTCACACATTCTAATTAGGAATACAAAGAACAAACCTTGTACGGATGCCTATAAAGTGTCTGTGATCCCACACAGCAGAACCTCAAAATACACCGTGGGCAAGTACCAGTGTTCAGTAACAGCTGAACAATTGGTCTGTCCTTTTCTGTTAGTGAAGACATGTTGGATAATTCTAAAATTTAAAAAAGAAAAGAAAAAAGCTTAGAATAAACACAATTCAGCAATAAAAGGACTCACTTAACTGCACCATATTTAGAATCACTGGGGGGTTTTTTTTTTGTCTTCTAGAAAAAGTTGAGGATACATGTTTGTCTTAAATCAAAGGCACAACAGAACTGGAAGACAAACCCAAAAAGACCACTGACTCAGGGAAAAGCTTCTGTACTTCCTAGAAAAACCTGAAGTTGAGAGTTCTGACAAAGGTATGCTGAGCTTCTGCCCAGCTTTATCTTCAATAAAGTGTATTACGTGACACGTTATTCTTTACTGAATGGAGAAGGAGGGTGGAGCTAAGATATTAAACCAAATGTAAAATGGAAATTCCTTCTAAAATTGCAGCAACTAAAGAAACAATGTGTTAAAAGCACAGGAAAAAAAAGCTCCAAACAACAGATGCCATTCCCTTTTGTCATAAAAAGCCCTAAAGGCAAAGGAAGCCTTTTCTCTCCATCAGCCCCTTCAATTTTTTAAGATTTCTTACTTCCCATCCCAAATATAGGACTCCCATTTTTGTGAGAGATCTCAAAATGCTTTTTTTCCTAAAAGATTATGGCTAATTTGGTTTCCCATCATTCTCTCTGCCCAGAACTTTAGAAAAGACTAATTTCTTTGGCTGAAATTTAATAACAGGATAGAACTCTCAGCATTTTTTAGAAAAATATGGCAAAAGAGAGATGACCAGTGAGGTGCTCACCCTTACTGGCTGTCTAGAAAAGTTCAGGAGGCACATAAGAATAACCACAGTTGTTCAGATCAAAGGTTCAGTCAGTCTACTGTCACCCAAAGCGGGGATAAACAGATGCCCCGTGTGTGCAGGGCCTCTGTACCTCTGCCAAGTGCTCTCTGCCCCGTTATTTCTGGTTTGGGGGGTTCCTTTGACCTACTGCAGTTTGCCTGTTGGTAAACCTTAACAGATCTTTCCTCCAATCCTTCTCCAGCGTTTCTTTGAAATTCTTTCGCCTCTACATCCTTTGGCAAGGAACTCCACAATACCTACTGACAGACAGACCACCTGATCCTGTTTTGGGCTTAGCTCCTGCAGGGCAGCAGTTGATGTCCCCCGACTTTTTATATTGCGAGAAGCGGTGCAGAGGCAGGATATATTGGCGTTCTCCACGCCAGCCACGATCCGCGCACCGGTCCCCACGGAGCCGCTTCCCCCGCCGACACGCGGGACGTAAGGCACACGCCACACCGCTGCCCCCGCCCGCCCGCCCGCGATGGCGACGAGGCCAGCCCTGACCGGCGCCACGGCCGCGCAACGGGAAGCTCAAGCACCCCCGCTCCCGGCCCGACACCTCAGGTCTCGGGGAGAGGAGGGAGCCCCGTAACCCACCCCCACGCGCCAGCGCGCGCCCCCCGGCCGTTAGAGCCGTTACAGCTCCCCTCCCCCCGCCCCTGAGGCGCCTCGCGCGGGCTGAACGGGGCGGGGGAACGGGGACCGCTGAGCACAGGGCCGCCCTCCCCCAGGAGGCCGGAGGCGCCGCAGATGAGCTCCGGGCTCGCTCGCTCCCTCCCTCCCTCCCGCCCGCCCCCCGCCCCGCTCCGCCCCGCTCCCCGGGGGGAAGCGATCACCTCGCTGCGCCCCTCGGTCCACGCGGGGCCTCGCCCTCCCCCCTTCCCGGGCGGCCAGCGGAGCAGGCACAGGCTTGCGCAGCGGCGAGGCAGAGCGCATCGATGGGCCG